CAGCCCCCTGGACGTCTGTGTGTTGAGGGATAAAAGTGCTCCGTGGCGGGTTCCCGGCACTTTGGACCGCCGGAGCCTGGATGAGGAAGACATAGAGAAAAGGTCTGAGGATGTGGGGAAAAGCAAGCGAATTCATGAAGAATAGCAAGAATGAACAGCTTGGTTATAATTTCATCACTGACCTATTGTTGTTGCAGACAGTGACGGAAGGGAATGTGAGCTTGTTGTTCTCCACCACCTTGATCTCCACGACAACAGGGTAGTCAAAGTACGTCTTGATGAGAATCCCGGCCTGGTACAGGAACACTCCCAGGCAGGCCAGCAGGATCGTCACCCACAGGACTCTGGAGAGAGACAGCATCACCATTGTGAAGGTTAGTTACGGTGGTGTAAAAAAAAGGGGTTATGTGTCGTAACGGCAGAACATTCGGCCCAGAACCAAGAGTTCCCGGGTTCGAATCCTGCCAAGTCAACAACATTGTGCCCTTGGGAAAGGCACTTATCACGACTTTTCTTACGTCGTTCAGGTGAAAATGAGTATGCCAGAATGATCGTGGGCATTCAAGGAAAACCAAACCAAAGGCAAGAGCGTCATATATTTATAAATTACACATTTCAGTCTTGTCATAACAGCTATGATTAAACTCCTACACAGACAATATAATGCTTTGAGAGTTACGTATTTCAGACGTAAAGATCAATGATCTTTACTGTCAAGAGTAATGTACTGCACAGTGTAATCATTTGAAAGTACTAAATTTGACGACATAAAGACACAAACCTGGCGGTCTTGCTGTCTGCATCCACAATTTTACTCACACCATGGGCTGTGGTGGTTGAACAAAACTGCTTTGTCATCGCCTGAAACGTTCAACAAACCCGTGCTCGTAAGTTCTCAGGGTCCCCCATCGTTAGTACAGAAAGATAATGATTATATAATTAGCATCAAATCTTCGAAATGAATATCTTTTCAAGTTCTTCTATATCATTTTGGTATATATGGCGGCGCCCATCTTAGTATCAAATGATGACGAAAATGTGCAGTAAATGTCAATATCAGACAATAATTTTCGCCGCCCTGAAATTTCATTAGATACACATATGGTTGCGATCAATCGATGCTGTAAAACGCTGAGTAAAGAGACTCTTTTTACACAACCAAGTGTCTTATTCACAGCCGACATTTAACACCTGACCACAACTATGTCATCTGTACGTACTTCTGTACGTTTGGAACCGCATTGTAGATACAGTTCCCTATAACCACGTATATGTGTAGATGTAAATATTGTACGTTTGGGGATGCATCTATTATAGTATAGCAGCGACACGTTTGCTGTATTGCAATGTGAACCAGTCAGAATTGCCCTGAGGAAGGTGACTGACGGTCACGGAAACGTCGGCGGTGAATAAAACACTTGGTTGTGTAAAAAGAGTCTCTATGCTCATCAATCGATCGTATTGAGATTACCTTGATGTCAGTCTTGGCACGTTCCTTCATCATCTTCTCATGAGCTGCCAAACAAACCGCGACCTCTTTTGCGGCATGTTGTTTAGCGCGGATGTCAATCAACTTCAGGATTCGCACGTCCAAATCCTCCGTTTTGTTGAACTCCTTTGCCTCTTGTCCTTTTGTTTCGATGTCTGCCATCTTCAGGTTATCTATTTCGGTTACCACTGCGAGGACCTTGCGCATTGAAATGGTCATAACATTAAAGCTGTATATATGGGATGACTCGGATATATCAATCAAGAGACATTAATTAGCACTAAGGCCATGTTGATTTGATTATATGGATGACATCCTCCGGGAGCCCCAAAACTGATGCGAGCGTGCGAATAAAAAAAGTTTTGGCAAAAAAAAAAGTTCTTTTACATTATGAAATCTACGTGGTCATGAGGGTTGAGCAAATGGCACAGAATATGGTTTGGCGAATAATCTAGTCTTCAAGTTCATTTCTTTACAATGTCGTCTTTTTTCGTTTGATTTTGGCATTCTACGACATTGGTATAGTTTTTATTAATTTTTTTGTAACTTATGGTATATTTTTGCTCATTTTGCAACTGTTTTGTACGATTTACAGTATGGTTGGAAACTTTTTTTTTTTGGAAACGGCCGAAAATTCATGCGCGCGCGGATGTCATCCATATAATCAAATCAACATGTCTAATCTAATAATTCAAAAGGGCACTTCGTTGCGTGGAGGATAATAAACAATAATAGGATTTCCTGCTTACTATATCGGATCATATCGTTCATGTCATGCCATGTCATCTATCTACATATCTATCTATATGTGTGTGTGTAGAGAGAGAGAGAGAGAGAGAGAGAGAGACGGTGATGACGATGATGAATTGCCAATAGATTAGCCACTTATGGCCATATCTTGGTCAGCTTCCTGGCTACTTTGTGCCAAACCAAATATGGACATGTTTAGTGACAATTCTCCGTTTTGATACCCCTCCCACCGAAGTGCGTCAGTTCATGCCGCCCATGGCCCACAGGTCGTTCTGAGAAATTACAGTAATCTGGGATACACGAATGCTCTTCGCTTCTCCCATCAGAAGTTTAGTTCGCATCGTATTGTACAAAGCAGCGTCCAATCTCATACTTAATTCAAGTCTTAGCACACCCCTATCACGTCAGATGAACGTTCGTCCCAAACCTTTATCTCTATCAGTGTACGAGTAATTACATTGCCACCAATTTTATTTAGGTTTAGAATGATTTTCTAAAAGACGACAGCAGGCAAAATAACTTCAATGTGGAATGGAAGAGAATCTAACTTACGTTACGTTAGCAGGTAAAGAGAGTAGGCTGCTAAACAAAAAAAAAAAACAAGAGCTTCTATTAACATATTTGTGATGGACGTTTTACTGTAGCGTATAGAAATAAGAAAATTTAGTACTTACCACTGGTGTTGGACTGACGACAGTCGGATGGAGAGATTTCAGTCCGTTCCGCAACAGTGAGAACACTGATCTGACTGATCTGACATGGGTAAAATCCGATCTCTAAGATTTACCACATCCCAAGAGATGTTTCGAGGCTGTAAGGATGAAGACGATCCTTTAGTAACCATGCACAATGCTGGAACTGGCAATAAAGCTACAAGGTCCTGCTAAGTATATGTATGGCTAAGGTCACAGAATAGATGACGACGATGTCGCATTTCCAGGGACAATCAAAAATACTAACCTGGGCGTGCGAAGGTAAATCGCGAAACAGTTCAGATATCTGAATCATGTGCTGCTTGATCAATTATGAGATAATATCTAAAAAGGCTTTTAACCTTTCAAGCACCAAGGCCAGGGCGTAGGTAGTAATCTAATCATCAAAACATACTCTACGCCAGCAAATTAGATATAAAATGATACTTGCAAATACTTATCTGCAGTGCAACAGCTGAAAAACGATTTATTAGTCACTACTTAAGAATATTAGTTGACATACACCTACTCTTTATCACTTTATGTACTCCTGTGTAATCTTATTATCAGAAAGCTGCTCTTGAATATTTCATTAACTACTTTGGTATATATAGTGGATTTATGGTAAAAGTCAAACCCAGGTATGTGCAGTGAAAATGGATTTCCTAGATAAATTTGACATTCAATATCATTGATACTGCAAGATGCTTACAATGTACGTTTCGACCATGTACTGCATTCTCTACATTCTTAAGTGGGTTACCACAGGTTACCTTTCGTTGCAATGGTCCTACACGACCAGTTAAGTCTATCAATCTTTCTATCAATCAAAAGGCGAGAACGCATAGCCACGATAATCTTCGTAATCCATTTATTCATGATATCTTCTTAAGCATACCAGGTACTATATCAGTAGCGTCGTCGGTATCAAAGATACGTCTCACAGTGCATCTTTACTTTTTATGTGTTAAGCGTACCAACATACAAGTAACACATTATTTTCGTCGGTATTATCCTAATGATATATTTTAATGTGCATTTTTACTTTTTACGTATCAACCGCACAAACACTACAAGAAACACATTGAATACAAGTAATGCTGTTGATCACACGACACTTGACTTGTATCAGGTTCACAGCATCTACAGTTACAATTACAGATTGTTGTATGTTTTAGATTCATCAGCCTGTAGTACACTTGTGTCAGCAAGTAGTTAATATGGTAGATATTCAAATGCCAATATTATCTTTCCTTTTATTCTTACAAGCAACCTTCACTACATCAATAACCAAATTGATACATGCAATGACCATAATGTCTACATTGTGCTTCTATCAAGTCTTGATAACATAGTGTATCACCTTAACATGCATGTCTACTTTTAGTTCAACTTTACCCAGCTTCTAGATGGATAGCAGCGCCTGGTAGTTGTTAACAATTAACCATTTGGTCATAATAGATATTTGTATTGTTAGCTACCAGTCATTATCACAGGTGGGTCCATGTTGCTCTTATCTTTCATTTCTTTATTACAAGCAACCTTGACTACATCAACGACTAAATTGATGAATTCAAAGACCGTGATAACAGATAGACCTACATACAGTCCTAACAGTCCACCGAGGCCACTGAGCAACGTTTCCTCAGTATAAGTTGGATTTTCAGTGATAAGTTCGTAGTTCAAGTCACGGAAGTACACGTGAATTCTCGCGAGATTTTCGCGCAATCCCTCGGGGTTGACCGGCAGATTCCGAGCCCGACTTCTGGTGTGGATGTTCTCCAAAACGTACCAGACGTAACTGTCGGACGGCCATACGGAGGAAGACAGCCAAAGCGCGTAGGAATCCTCGTTACAGGACTGACGACAGTCGCACGACAGGTTGCTGTCCTCGTGACGTTTATGGACTTCTTGACGGCAACATTCTTGTGTCTTGTTCAGCACACTGCACAATGTGCTATTGATGGCTATCAGATCGTCAGAACAGCCACACTCGTGCAGTAAGGCTGCCTGCAGACATGAATGTTGACATGTCTCGTACGTGTATCTCCCACCGTACAGTGCATCTCTTTCCTGATGTGAGGTGCAGTCTCCGTAGGATGCGGCTGTCGTTTGACAGAACTGCGTTTCAAGCCGACGAAAGTGCTCTCCCCGGGTTTGGTATTGATGGCATTGCCTTCAGGAACGGCGTTGACCCTACGCTGTGGATGGTGACCTTTGCTCCTGGATCCTGACCAAGAGTCCCACGTATTCCTTCCTTTCGATTGACAGCGTCAGTTTTAACCGTACTCCGCTCCCACCTTGGTGGTGTTTCGAACTACGCCGTCCTCGCCATGATTGAAGGTAAAACAGTTGCCATATTTGGCGTTTTGTGTCACTTTGAAATCGTCCAATGAGCAACGTTCTTTGTCAAAGGTGCATTGAACAATAAGGTCTTCCTTTTGGTGCCCCATCTCTGCAATCTCCTCTCTCGTAGCCATTGAAAAGTCCGTGATGTCCGTGTAGTCATCTGTGTTGGAGCTGAGAAGGAAACCAGCCCAGTCATTGTCACCGCCAACAGCGTTCAGGTTCAAGTCTACACAGCCGACTTCACACCGCTCGACATGGCAGTATTCCCAGTCCCGCTCTTCTGTGAACCACCACGGCGCTTTAGACGGATGACCCGGTATGTTCCGGCAGTAGTTTTCAGACAGATCCGCATCCGGGTACAGTGAGGGAGTGGTGCAGTGACGCTGTGGATCATGGGAGTTCCACTTCTGACACGGCCGGCCGCTCCTAGTGACGTTCTGCTTACCCCTGTAGTTCAGGCCTCGTCCCACGATGCACTCGGGTTCCGCGCACATCGCTTGGTGATGATGATAAAACTGAACAGTCTGTCCAACTGTGTTTGTTGACATTGTACAGCTAGATGACCTGCACCCTACTATTCCGAGACGTAGTCCTCCCTTCCGTCCCCATAACAGCGGATACAGCCGTACGTATCGAGTCCCGACTGCGCGAGAGAAGTACACGTGGTTAGGGGTGTCGCCATCTTTGTTTCCGACAAACACTGTTGGTATCGTTTCGTCCTCCCTGTAAGTCAGCCACTGATCTCCGTCAATGCTAAAGGATAAAGAGAAGGTTTTGACGAAGCCACCAGCCTTACCTCCTCCCTGTGTGATCACCCCGGCTAGGATATAAGAGTCTAGTAAGTCCACCTGTATCCAAGGCCTGGTGTCATTTTCCTCCATCTTCCACGAAGACCTACTGTTGAGCCGGGCATGGTTGGATGTACGCTGGTGAAGGAAAGAAGAAGCAGTGATTTGATCACGTACAATAACGCCACTCTCCATACCTAGCGGGTTGTTGCAGCCATTGAAGTGGTTTGTCTCATCAGCTTTCCGTGGTATGGATTGATTTTGTGGCGATGTGCCTGACTCGGGGTTGCAACAGTAGACATGAAAGGCCGTGTCGTTGGATGAAATGCTGTCCTTGTACGTTACGCCATCTTTACAATTATGATCTGAAGTGTTGCACTGATCTTGAAGACTTGCCACAGCGTTTGGGTCGACAAACCATGAAAAGCCATCGTTTCTAACTCCGTCATTATACAAGTCATTAAGTTGAAGACGTGAACATGGCTGCTTTGCTCCCTTGGCGCACACTGTAAAGGCCTCCGACTGTTGAGAAAACTTGTCTTCACTCTGAAAGAAACTCTCCTCACAGCAAAGCGCTTTGTAAGATTTTGACCGATCGATTTCGAACAAAGGAATCTTATTATCGAAGCATCTTTCGCCAACAAGGCACCCGCAGGTGTCGTTAAGTAGTGTGACTTTGTCGGCCATGTTGATCCACGCGATGTCTTCAGGGTAACTGTCGCGCCTGATGGAAGCCTCATGGACGGCCATCAGCTGTGAAGGGAGACATAGCTGCATGCCCCGGTCACGGCAGCCCTTCTCAGCACTGCTGTGGTTGCGGTGCTTTTGCTCAGTGAGTTCAAACAAGGAGTCGTCACAGCAATAGGCTACATTGCTCACGGCGACTGAAACTCGATATCGATACACGTTGAAACAAAATTCAGAAGGTGAAGTTGTACAGTCTTCCTCAAACATGGCTTCCATACCATGATTCCTGATCCAGCCCCATCCAGTTGCCTTGACATCTTTGAATGTGTTTAACAGGACCAGCTGCTCTAGAGAACACAGTTGTTTCCCTCGTTCTTCACAATACTGTGCGGCGTAGGTTTGCTGGTAAAACTTGTGCCTTGTTGGGAATACCGGTTCGTCTTCATTCTCGCTGATGGGACATCTTGCGATGGACTGACAGGGATCCGACGTCAGGTTCGCTTGTCGAGTATCGGAAGGGCAGACTAGATCTGTGCTAGCTCCACCCGGTGCAGATCGGCAGAAGTTCTCCTCCAGGCAGAAGTCGAAGTGACGGTTTGGGCAGGTCCAGTCTTGGCAGACGGCGTTACCAGCAGACCGAACGGTCCCGCGGTACGTGGTGACATTTGACACACAGTCATTACTGCTGCAGATGATGGAGCTGGGATCTATGGTGATCCTACGCGAGGAATTCGCATGCGTAGCGCTGAGGATGCAGTCACTCTCTTCACATCCAAGAAACTCAACACGAAGAGTTTTATTGCGCCCATCACTGATGACACGAGGCAGAATGGCGACGTGTCGGGTTATGACGGGACGCGGCAGATGTTGGAAGTTGTAGCCATTGCCGTCGACATGGCCGCAGAAAAGAACTTCTTCGCCATACTCATCTACATAGCCAACCCAATCACTTGTCGTCATCCCGTACTTTATACGATACGTTTGAACTGTTTCTCCTTGAATTATCAACCCTGTCAGAAGAACCGTTCTGCCTAAGTCTACCTCGAAACGGGGATTGTCATCATAATGGGGATATCGATCAAACTGCCACGGTACCTTGGAATTCAAACGGCCATAATGGGGTGGGTGACCGTCCACAAATGACGACGCTGAAATTTGGTGGTCGTAAATTTTCCCGCTTTCCATTCCAAGCGGATTGCTGCATCCGGGAACTTTGGCCGTGCATCCCGACTGTACGCACATTTGAGGAGAGCAACAGAACAAACCGGCTTTTTCAGTGTTTTCATTCGTTGGGAGCACTCCGCGGTAGCATGTCGATGCGGTTGTGTTTGAACAGTCGTCCTCTAACTTCATCTGGAGGTTTTCCCTCGTCCGAAACCAACCCCAACCGTCCAAACGTTCGCCATTTTTGTAGGCTGCAGCCAGCTGACTAGCGGTGCACGCTTCTCCCTCTACATAGCCAACTAAGTTCGCGCATGCGCCTGAATCCAAAGCCTCCTGGCGAGTTTCAAACGTTTGATTGGTCAGTTTGACGTAACTGTCAGGATGGCAGCAGAACGTTGAGTTGATTTTATCGGGGATGTCTTCTATGCGCCGCAGAAGAATCCTGCAAATGACAGGTCAGGTATGATTAAAAAAAATGTACTTGTCATAAAAGTAAATCGTGCTTCCAGGAGGTAACCCTTACACTGGTTAGACTCTGGTGAGGAGGGGATGTTTTGAAATGTTGTCAATAAGAGTATGTGCTAAAAGAAATATGAAGTACTTTCTAGATTATATTGTAAATTACCCACAACGTTTGTTAGTCCGAGGGTTTCCTACATAAGTCTAAAAGTGAATTCCACAATTGCAAACCTGGTTCAACAGAAAGTCTCATGATCAGTATAAGATCGACAAACAGTTAATGTTTCGCACCTGTCATTATAACACACGTCACAAGTATCTTGTTGATCGGCTGCGGTGCATTGACTCGACAACATTGCTGCCCAGCCGTCTCTGTTGTAGTAGCTCCACCCTGACATGATGTTATCATCCTTCGAATGTCTCAGGATCTGAGCCAGGGTGCACAGTTGTTTCGACCTGACCCTATAATGAAAACGAAAATAACAAATAAAGCGATTGTTATATTGTTATAATGATATATATTGTTAAAGCGAAGTTCTATGGAGCTTGAAAGAAAATGTGGAATAACTTACTTTTTGAAATGTAATGGCAAACATCTAGCAGACATCTAGCAGACATCGTTGAGAAACTGTTCTCTGCATGCTAAGTTTAGTGTTTAGTCGAATGTTACTAAGTTGCAGATTAAATATCTATGTTTTTATAATGTGTAGAAAAGGAAACTTAACCTTGCTCACGTTTATGAGTTTGACATCGATACAATCGATTTTTTTTATTGAAGGTATTTTTAAATGTGATCAGTGTTTCTGAAATAAACAAGGTGTGGTCCGACAAATGTACTACACATGTACAGGACTTACCTACACACCGACGAAGCATCGCTGTTTTCGTCGGAGAGATAGGCTACCTCAAAATCCTCATTATAACCGTCAAAAGTTCCATCTTCCGGCTCAGTCCCGATCACGACTCCTTGTATCTCCATGTCTACCGGTACCTGCCCCAAGTAGTCTCTGACGTCACGCTCAGTTCTCTCATCCAGTTCAAGTAAAGAGCCATGTCGGGAGCCGCTCAACTTGGATTTTCGCAATCTGGAATAAAACGTTATGAAGTTCCATCTCATTCTGAAAGTTCATTTCCTTTCAGAGACTCAAAAGGAAGTAAATTTTCTGACCTATCCCCATGATGTCCAGACAAAACCTGCCCTTAGGGTGGTCACTAGAGACAGAATTCTTAACGTTTCTGTCAATGGAAATATGATTAAGGTCATCCAAGCTGTGACTGCAATACCCAGGTGGTCCTTATGCAAAGGTGGACACTAGTAAAGTAAAGTTTTGACTGTATGTATAAATAGTTTATATTAGCTTAGTTTATTGAGTTCCCATATAAACCCTTTCGTAGCTAATATTTCAGGGCTCAAAAAAGACAGAAAATAGTCAGGCATAAAAATACTATAACAAACGTCAGAATACATACCGGTTGTTGTTGCAGACAGTGACGGAAGGAAAGGTGAGTTTTTTGTTGTCCACCACCTTGATGTCGACGTTAACCGGGTACTCAAAGTACGACTTGATCAAGATGGCGGACTGGTAGACGAACAGGGTGATGCAGGTGATAAGTATGACTGTCCAGATGATCCTGAAGAAAAAAATAAATCAGAATTGCAAGTACTAAATTTTTGAGGGGGTGAGTCTTGTAAATGTATACGGAAGAACCACACCTAAAGTACGTTCACGAATCTACCACACTAGTCAATAATAGTATGGGTAAGCCCTAGTGTGAGTGGCTCAAGACCATTTCATTGCAAAAAAATGTGCGTAAAGTTAGTTAGTATTTGCACCACTCAACAATTAACTCAAGTGAAAATGAGTGTTCTCTGTCCTTGTTTCTATGTGTGGGACATAACAGCTGTCAGTGTCTCCCGAGTATTTATTGTACTGTTGCAATTTCAATAAAATCAAATTAAACCACTAGTGACATAAAAACCAAAGCTAACTTTGGAAATGTCTGCAGATAAAATCAAATCAATACCTTGATCTTGTTGTGTCAGCTTCTGCCACACGGCTGACTCCATGAGCAGTAGTGGTGGCACAGAAATCTTTTGTCATAGTCTGTTAACATGGGGAAAATTAAATATACAGTCAGACGTTGCCAATGCTTTCTGAGGAACCACATTCATAGTAAAACACAAGTTACCTTTTTTTTCCTCTATTCTTTCATGAACGATACAGCCAAACTTTGCAAATGCTTTCAGAAGAACCACATTCTGAATGAAGTACATATAGAATTTTAAAAGAAATCTGCCGTACCTTGATGTCTTTTTTCCTCTGTTCCTTTATCTTCTCATCGCGTTCCTTGAGATATTTCTCCACCATTTTCCGCGCACGCTCCTCGGCCGTTTCCTCGATTACTTCTAGGAGCCTCGAGTCTATCATTTGAAGAAGCTTCTGGTCTTCGCAGTTGGTGGTTGTCATCTTGCCAAGCAGATGTTAGGGTCTCCTGTATGTAGCAAATTGTCAGTAATTCAACTACGTATGTGATGTCGTCTGTTTGTAACTGGCCAAACTATCCATTATTCTAACTTAAGCAGTATTAAGAAGCGCTATGGCCTATGCTACAGTAGAAACACACCCCATATATCAGGTTACTCACTTGACATCGATAAAAATCCTATTAGAGAGAGGCCCGTTAAAATTTGCCTGGCCTGAAAGTCACTTAATGACATAGTTTAATTTGTATGTATCTGCCTTCTTTACTCATTTAAAAGTATAAAGCTAATTGCATCAAACCCTATTATTGACCTATTATTGATAAAGTCAAGGGGCAAGCGTCAGAGGCCTTAATTAGATTACTAGGCATAGAATCCAAATCTATGGGTCTGAAATCCATCATTACCTGTCATACTTGTTTCTGATGAAACGAGGGGCTATTCTAAACAGAAAGAAACGTTCGTAAAAAAGACAGGCCCAAAAATTAAAATTCATTTCATTTTTTAGCAGTAGCTCGTGATTTAAGATGTCTATACGAAAGCCACACGTCTTTGTTTAAAAACATGTAAAAAATCAACAGTTTGATTGCAATATCAGATGTATATCCACGCTTGTCATGACAGAATGCACTTAAGATCCCCACACCACTTTGCAGGTCATTCCTGATGTCCATTACATGTCCCCTGTGACACGCACTTTTCTACCGTAACCCTAATGCTTCTGCTAATGATTCCATTTTGCGTCTGGTCATCAATATGAATTGTATCCCTATGAGTACAGCACTATCTTTGAATTATGTATTAGACATGTTATGCTCTAATTACCTTCCCCAAGAATGTTATGTTTTTTGTAGTGTTTGCTGAGCATGTTCCAGAGAAGCTGCGCGAAATTTCGAAAGCAAAACTGTCTTCTTTATTATAATAGTATGGATTGGATATACCAAGCGCTTCTAGCTCTGCTTGACTGTTTCTAACAGTCAATTAGATATAGAAGTCCAAATACTACGTAAGTGTTAATGGGCCTAAGTTCCCCTCCTATCTCTGATTGGCGGATGTTTTTCCGCCAATGAGATATAGGAGGTTACCATGTAACCTTATCTTTCAAATAGCTCTGTTAGCATTTAATTTAACATTTTAATGTCTTGGGGTGGTGGGACTACGGCGCACAGATATGTCAACTTTGTATATTTGATGTTAATTGTACCTTTTTTTGTTGTGTGGCGCTGTTAATATAAGTTGTTAACTTGAGTGCAGCGCCACACTGTCCTTGTTATGTCTTTTATGTTTTGATGAATAAAAAAAAATAGTATGGATGTCCGTAACAGATTAGGATTCAAGCTGCCACCTATTAATCAAATTGTCCGATGCTGTAACGTAATTATAAAGTACCAGGTCACTAAGGTTGTGAATTTTACCATATTTTAAGGCCATATTACTGTTAACGTACCCCAGTGGATAGCACTTGATACAAAAACAACTGGGAACAGTGTGGATAGATTGGATTCTAACTGGTCGTTAAATTTTGGCTTCAAAAATTGCCAAGGCTTTTGATGTTTGCTTGTTCATAAGTTTTCTCGCTTGAAAGTGGATGCTGGTCAAGTAGTAAGCTTGTGATTTTAGATTTTAGTCTTACTTTGTTATACATCTGGATTCTACGTTGGTCTATAGCTTAAGAAAAACATCGTTTTCTACAAAGGTAGACCCGGCTTATGAAACGAACTCACAGTCATCGTCAAACAAATCTGTCAATTAACAAAGTCACTAGGACTCAACAAGATCATTACCTAGCGATTAATGAATGAATTACACATTTCTAATGGACTTAAGATCAAGGTCTTTGACCATTCCCTGATAAAATTAAGGACATCCGTGTTTTTTCTGTTCTAAAAACTCTTGCGAAGAATGTCCAAACGACTTAAATGCATGTATGGACTGTGTAAGAGGATTACACCGAAGAATGCAACAAATACTCGTCATTTAAGCTGCTTCATTTACCAGTAAGCTTAGAATGTTACCGGACAGGTTTTGTCGAGGTTGGGATTTAGATAAAGTCTACAAAAGTTGACCGCTCAAGTGATAATTGAGGTGTATGTGGGACAAGGACGGAATCTTTAAAGAATTTGTAGAATTCCTTTTGGAAGCGATTAGACGTTTTCCAGTTATGTTGTGTTAATAAATAATGTATCCAGGCCACATTGTATCGGACAGAAAAAACATAGAGGTTCCCACTACTACAGTCACAAGAATATTGCAATAATCTCAACCAAGTATTTTTCATCAATATTCAAAGACGCAATGTTGCGAAACAAGCTTGCCTAAGCCGATTTGTTGAGGGATAATCAGCTTATGAACTGTTCGTTTGACAGTTGTCTCTACAAGATGTCATTAAAAGTACCCAACATTTCTGTAACGGTTAGGTTAAGCGACAGAAATGAGAGAAGCACTCATTTTTAGTCTTTTGTTGAGTATATATCGTTCCTTTACTTAAAAAAAAACATACCGCATGAACAAGGCTCTTTTGTAGCTCATCACCAATACAAGTGTTGAGTCAAAAGGGAAGGGTTTATATCAAACCACTGTGCGTTTCATATGAGATATCAACTCCCTCATAGGAAGGGACATATTCTGGTTAATTCTTCAGTTGGCCACTTCAAAACGTCCATAACCATAGCAGGTAATGGCATTAATTATCCAGCGTTAGATAGACAAACTTCCGTTAGAAAGGGTTTGTTTCCTGTCTTACTTTATAAAGGATTTCCTCTATGTCTAGCTGTTTTATGTCTATACTACATTCAGTATCAAAAAGCAGTAAAATCACAAATTTATGTCTACATGTCGCATGGCAATGAACATGCACAGAGAAAGGGTTAAATGGTATATAAAACGCTAGACCCTTCTTACCTTGAAGAACAAAGTCGTGTGTCCCTCGATCTCTTGGACCGTAGCTTGTGTGGGCAACCTGTGTGGCTTCTTCATATATACGGCCCTGGGTGGGACGGGTATAGCGTCATCACCGGAAGCACTGTGTCATGTACACCGGAAATGCGTCATGAAATAGCCCCCTTCCCTCCCCAAGGTGACAGGCTATGTGTGGGCAGGGCAACGGAGAATCCAACAGGTAGTGTCGTGTCTGATCATTCGGTTTATAATGATGATCTGATAGTTCTTACTGGCATTTTGTTTGAATGCACATTTCAGAATACTATGCTCAGTCAAAATATATTCTATGATATCGTCTATGCCTATTTGAATGAATGAATGAATGAATGAATGAATGGTTTATTCAGAATAAGAAGCTCTCTCACAGCCTATTGACTGAATTGCAGGTTTCCTTACAAATATTTCATTATACGCAATATCTACTTATTTATAGCAAGGACATTAGTATACCTAATGTCTACTTATTGTACCTTGGATACATATATTACAAAAGATATAACATTTAGATATAAATTTGGGTATCAAACACACAAAGTGACCCTTACCCCAAGTTACCACTTGAGAAATCTTGAGATAGCCTAGTATAACTTTGCCTCCATAATGACAACATTTGATATCTTTGTAAAGTAAAATAATATTTTCAAACGTTTTTGAAACTTTTTTTCTATAGACAACCAGGAATAGAATCCATTCAGACAATTTGTTTACACAGATTCAAGGCTGACTTAAAAATGCCGCCCTCCTTCCGGACCATTTACCATGTGCCCCACAGGTACCGTGGGAAAATGAACCCATGCCCAAACCAGCTTCAACTGATTCCGCCCCAGGCAAGGTGACATGTCTAGGATAATTGTGCTTCATCATTACTGTGGTTATGTCGGGTAAAGTGTCAATAGACCGATCCTGACTGTCCAGCACAACTATTCAGTTATCAGTTCAACCAATGAGAGATGGCATTTAGCGGTTTGGCCTAAGAAAGAGTGACTGACATCTGTGCGTTTTTATGATTTTATTTTGCAATTGATACATCACAGGTATTTTGAAACAAAGTGGAAACATTCGGCAAAATGAAATATCAATTCTTCCTACTATGACATCAAACATACTATAATATTAGAATATACGGTTTACGGTTGTACCCTTAAACTATAGCTACCCGGTGGGGCACAAGTTTGGAAATGTGACCGTAGTGTCAGTCAGGCTTGACAGCAGCTTTGATCGGGATTCAGTATAATTCACACGTTTTCGTACAGGCCGTCGCCAACTTCGTTAGAGTAAATGTGTTCCTGCGCACTCGGTAAGTTCAGGTTAGTGTAGGTAGAGTCAGACATGGTGGAGGGGTCTAGATCCTGGTAAGTAGTGTCGACATCTTGAGAGTATTGGGACACTGTAGAGGGGTTTAGATCAAGGTACGTAGTGTCGACATCTTGAGGAACTTCGGACACTTTAGAGGGGTTTAGATCAAGGTACGTAGTGTCGACATCATTTTGAGGGTTTTGGGACACGGTAGAGGGGTTTAGATCCAGGTACGTTGTGTCGACATCTTGGGGGTCTGGGAAAGTATATCGGCCACTACTGTTTTGCTGGAGAGGAGGCGAATTCCCAACTGCGATGGCACCATAATCTAGGCTGTCATACTCGGGTTCTTGCTCCAGGACTGTGCGGGGTCTCATCGCAAGTGCTGCAGGTGCAGTACTACTTCTTTCTCTACTACTTTGTCTGCAAAAACAGGAACATATAGTATAATATAAACATACAACGCATTCGTCATAGATTCGGCCATGCAAGATTGGGTACACCTAATATCAACAGGGCCATTCTATGACAACTCTAATGACTAAAGGTCATTTACTGTGTCTAACCTTTTAATCCATATTTAGCCTTAACAACTCACAAACTCACAAACTCACTAGCCGCCTTTCAAAAGTAAAATATCCCGTCATTCTGCTTATAAACCCCTGCCTACATGTTGACAAATTAATCTGCCAGGACAAGCAGGCACACAAACCAACAGCTCAGCCACCCAAAACAGTACTTCCGTGCCTGTAAGTAAAAAGGCAAGAACGCGATGGCCACATATAAAATGTTGATGTAGAAATGAAATACCGCACCTTTTCGTAATCACCACAGCACCGATGACCACTGTACCTATGATTGCGAGACCACCAGCGACTGATGACAATACAACGCCTGTTGTAGTCAGCAACGGGCCGCTGGCTGCGGTGGCATTAGTAGTTATGTTACCTGTAAGATATACAAATCATTGCCTATAGATTCAGTACACAACATCACTGTTAACTGCGTCGGTGAAGGCTAGACATCCAGGCAATAAGATTCACCAAAAACAGTTACTCAAGCAACTGGATATGATTTTGGTAACGGTCGGACGTTTCAGGTAGCATCGACATCCACTACCTTTCTCCAGTGTCACTGACGAAAAGTAGTGGATTGCCTCTGTGTCTGACGGTTTCCAAAATCATATCCAGTTGCTTAAGTAACTGCTATTTGGCGTCACTATTGACTGGTTTATTATTTTTACAGCGTTTAGACTGAGGGGATCCCTCCGTACTTACTTCACATTTTGTATGTTACGTTCTGACGATCAATGATGACCAAGATTTCTGTGGGATTTGGGTGTTTAAGGTACTTAGTCTGTCACGAACGAATTGCTAAACACACACACTTGTAACGAAAAGATACAATTCACTACATACCTTTAAATGTACTGGTTGATGTTTCTGAACTCTTTGCAGTGATGGGGAGTTGTGTAGCATAGGTAGTGACAGGTGGTTGTGTTGTCTGGATAATGGTAAACGTCTCTACAGTGAAAGTTTGTTCTGTGTTCTGCAGAGTGGAAGGAGGTTCTGTGGTCTGGATAGTGGGAGGAATTTCTGTAGTTTGGATAGTGGAAGGTGGATCTGTAGTCTGGATAGTGGAAGGTGGATCTGTAGCCTGGATAGTGGAAGGTGGATCTGTAGTCTGGATAGTGGAAGGTGGATCTGTAGTCTGGATAGTGGAAGGTGGATCTGTAGTTTGGATAGTGGAAGGTGGATCTGTAGTTTGGATAGTGGAAGGTGGATCTGTAGTCTGGATAGTGGAAGGTGGATCTGTAGTCTGGATAGTGGAAGGTGGATCTGTAGTCTGGATAGTGGAAGGTGGACCTGTAGATTGGATAGTGGAAGGTGGATCTGTAGATTGGATAGTGGAAGGTGGATCTGTAGCCTGGATAGTGGAAGGTGGATCTGTAGTCTGGATAGTTGAAGGTGGATCTGTAGTCTGGATAGTGGAAGGTGGATCTGTAGTCAGGATAGTGGAAGGTGGATCTGTAGTCTGGATAGTGGAAGGTGGATCTGTAGTCTGGATAGTGGAAGGTGGATCTGTAGTCAGGATAGTAACAGTGTTGTACGTTGACCACGCTGTATATGCCACTGCATTTCTGCTCATCACCAGAGCTAAATGAGACATAATAATTTTCTTAGGAGAAGGAGGGTGGCATATCTCGAATAGCACCATTTTCCGATCTAGTATTCTATGTATGCTTTAGTTCATATTATTCATAAGTTGTGGCATATCTCGAATAACACCACTATTCTATGTATGCTTTACTATATATTATTCATAAGTTGGTGTCAGTAGCCAGTACTGATCAAACGATAGCAACGATGCGTCAACAGTGACGCCATAATAAACTAGGCAGGGACGGCCCACCCCTTTACTTCCGTGTCAGGGATTAGTTTAATTGAGCAGAAAATTGTAAACAAAGGTGCTTTGCAAAAGAAAGGAAAGTTTCCACATTGTCAAATGCGGAGGCTTCAACTGACCAGTACTTAAGTAAGAAAATCATCAAAACTCTTTCTGCAAGTACTAGTAGTTCAGTAATCTAGAACTGTTGTATGGTAGTTAATAACAATAACAGGCCTCTTGTTGACGGTTGTTGTCAGTTCTCTGTCATTTCAACCTGCACACCTGCATACCGTCTTCGGGTAGGAAAGGCTCAAGCCTGTGTTGTCCCGATCTTCTCTCTATCCTTCGCTTGAGACGTGCATAATGTTTGCCCAGGTCTTATCCAGTATATTTTTTAATTCATTTACTGATTTCGCTTCCACTACTGATTCAGGTAAAGAGTTCCAGTCCTTGACCTTTCTGACGCTAAAAGACTGACTTCTAGCTCTATTCTTCGCTAGCGCTAGCGGCACTTTCAGTTTATACTTGTGTCCTCTTGTTTGGCTACCAGCTACCTCGAAAAGGTAACAAAAGCAAAAGCTACCTCGAAAAGGTAACAAAAGCAAGACCTAGAATGTTATAAGGAAGTGTTACCTAAAAAATGTTGACAGAATTCGGGCCTGTCACTAATGTCAAATTTCGTCGGTTCCGGAAGTGGACATAGCTGATAGTCAATGTTACAGTTAGAAATAACGGAATCTATACGTTCTCACCTATTAGAATGACAAAAACCCGCATTATCATGCTTCGGAGGTGTGGTGATCTTCTGTTCACCCTCTGCGTGCACTGTCTTTGTGAAGTACAAGTTGGATAACCAGGCTGGTCACGTGGTGCTGACGTAATTCACCCACACTGGTCACGTGTTTGACTCCAGTAGGGTCAGGGTAGTCAAGGTCAGCAACAGCAAAAGACGAAGTCGCGTCATTCTACGATTTACTAAGTTAAACTTGACTTATGTGACAAAAGTCAGAGCAGTCTTGCACCATTGGTTATTACTTTCGTCGAGAAGGTTATGCTTTTTTATAAGGGAAATAGACTAGACAGGATTCAAGTTGGTTTATTTATTCACATACTACACAGGCTAAAACCACATTGCAGTCAACAAATATGGTTGGCTGAATTACGTGATCTAAGGCTATACAGATGCAAACAACTTAAAGTACAACTAACAAAAACAAAGCATCTTCCTTGTGGACATAATGGGTATTACATAATGGGTATTACATCATATCTAAGACTAGTCTTGCCAGTTATGGGATCGGGTTATTCCTATGTCCATCGGATTTGGTGTATAGAATGCTGAGCTGATCGGCACCGTTTAGACCCTTGTTATGGATTTCATTGCGATGCGGAGGCAACCAGCATCGGATGCAGGTGAATTCAACAAGTTTTACCATGGCTATGTGCGCCCCGACGGACTAGAGTGGATGGATACAAAGTACAGTAGTATATAATCTAATGATAAGTTGAAAAGTATCAAAACATCGGTCTAGTTATCTCTTGGAATGGCGCAAATCTGGTAGGATTTGGGTGCGAGAACAAGACCCAAGGTGCCTTCCATTGACGGCGCAGGGGCACCTTCTGGTAGTTTGAATGTGAAGTGCTGCAGCAAGGTTGTCAGGAAGATGAACAGTTCCATCTTGGCCAGTTGCTCACCAAGGCACTGACGCCGCCCTAGGCAAGGGATAAGAGGGACAAAAAAATGAAGTGATATATGTTGATAGTGCCGCAGTGACATATGTACATACTCTCCCTTTTTACATGTTTTTGTCTTCATGATCATGACCAGATTCTATGATTAAATCTAAAGAGCCAGGTTCCAAGGAAATAATTTAAAAGGTAACATTTGCAAAACAAATGCATAATGTTTACCTTCTCATATAGTCTGCTCTGTTAATTCGCACTAGAACACATTCATTCATATGGTGACAGGAGTCTAAGTCCCTCTAAATTTGCAACATGATGTAACCCAACACTAGTTACCATGGTGACAGACGTCTGGTTCAGGTTATTGACCTTATTTATTTGTTTGGAGAAGAAACAGAGCAAAAACAATATGTTTTCCTTCGGTAAATTTAAATATAAACAACTTAAACTCACCCAGTGAGAAAGGAATGAACCACTCGGGACGGACGAGAGATCCTTCTTCGTCCAAAAACCTGTCCGGGTTGAAGGTTTCGGGGTCAGGCGCCACTGCCGGATCCATCATGGCGGACCACAGGTTGGGGATGATGAGAGTGTTCGCCGGGATGTCAAAGCCGTGCAGAACGGTCGCGGCGGAGGTTGTGTGAGGAACACTGAGCGGTACTGTGGGTCGGATCCGCTGAATTTCCAGGATGGTGGCCTCGGTGTAGGGCAGCTTTCCTCGCTGGGACAGGCTTGGAGGACTGGCACCGAACTCTTTGTCGATCTCGTCCTGCACTTTTCGCTGCACTTCCAGATGGCGCGCCAGGTACAGCAGCCCCCACTTTAGGGTCGTAGCTGTTGTTTCTGCTCCTGCGATGAACAGGCCTCTCACCGTGCTGATCATCCCCTTTTCTGTAATGGTGCCGTCCTGTCCACCCGGGGCCTGCTGCTGGGTCTCCATCAAGTACACGTCAATAATGTCCCGGATGTCGGAGGGGTCGAAAGTCTCTTGGTGTTCTTTGATCTTGATTTGATTTGATTTGATTTATTAGGATTGCAAGCAAGTACAATACTCGTGGGCCACAGGCAGCGGGGGGCTGGTGTTGTGGCCCACACACAAAACAATCACAAGCACACAAACTAGACACACATTTAAACCTAGTATAAGTATAAAAAATAAGTATAAGGGTACTAAAACAGCATAGATTAGAATACTAGTATATCAGTCCATTTAGCACTAGATACAGTTCATGCGGTTTCTAGCCGCCAGAATGTTCTCGTATCTGGGGCCACGTCTCCGGGTCAACTGGTGCTTCTGCTGTGTGAGCAGGTGGGCCCGACACATGTTCTTAAATATAGTGATGCTGCGGGCCTCTCTAACAAACTGAGGCAGCTGATTCCACAGCCGTGACGCATAAGGCAGGAAGCTGGCCTGGTACGTCTGTGTACGGCACCGAGGTAAGTGGAGGTGCGTTGCGTTCCGCAGCTGAACACGTGTGACCCTTTGGTCTCCTCGTGTGGTGGGAGTTAGTGGCTGGAGGTGAGGGGGGACTAGTCCGTTCACCAGTTTGTACATCAGAACCATGGAATGGAACTGCCTCCTGGTGGACAGACTGTCCCATTCTAACTCCTGCATGACGACACTTGATGGTGTACGTCTCAAGGCTCCGGTGATGAGGCAGCCGGCCTGGTAATGCACTCTCTCCAACATCTTGCTGGATGAGCAGGACAAGTCCCCGAGCAGTACGGCGGCGTACTCCAGTTTTGGTCTGACCATTGTGTTGTACGCCATTTCAAGTGCCTCCCGGGATAGCTTGCCCTGGAGTTTCCATAGGAAACCCAGGGTTCGCCTGGCCTTACTGGTTGTGATCTGGACATGTTCGGTCCAGCGTAAGGTTTGGTGGATGGTTGTTCCCAGGTGGGTGTAGAACGGCACTTGTTCAACTTCCTGCCCTGCGATGTATATGGGAGGAAGCTGTACCTTGCTTCTAGGGGACTTGATGCAAAGTACTTTGCATTTATCTGGGTGAAGTTGGAGACCCCAGTCGAGGAACCAGGTAGATACCAGCTCGAGGTCAATGTTAGTTGTTCTGGCCACTACCTGGGCTGTAGGTCCAGACTTGGAGAGCGAGGTGTCGTCAGCAAAACAGTTGGCTTTGATAAAATCGTCGATCTCGCTGACTGTTTTCATTCGTTTTTCATGCTCCTTTTTGAAGAAGGGCAACTTGCGTACCAAGGGGATAAACCGAGGGATAGAAGATCCGGGGGTCCCAGACCCACCTACCATCCCCCAAATCAATCGCATGAGCCTCTGGAACTCTGTGTCGTTGCACTCGAATCGCTCACCGAACGCCATGAAACAGATGATGTTAGAAACGGCATTTGACAGAAGAAGCGACATGTCCGTTGCAGTGCCGCCCTTTTCCGCAAGAATGTCAGACAAGGTGCGAGCCTCCTCTATGATTCTGCCCTCCAGACTACGTTTGCCCATGCCCAACTGACGGAGAGCGGTCAGGCCGACTTTACGTTTCACCTTCCAATCTTCCCCGTACCGGGCCATGACAATACCTGCAGAATGAAGAAATATTCTCAAATATCCTCAAATATCTGGAATCTTTTGCGTGTCTATTCTTTGTTGAGTAAATTCGTTAATTGTATTCATTTTGGGGCCAAATGACATGAAATTTGGCATGAAGGTAGAGTGGCCAAATACCCCAGACTTTTTTTTTTCATTTAATTGGTATAACAAGCTTTGAAATTGTTTTTTTTTTTTTTAGTTTTTGCCATTTTCAGGCAAACAAATGTACATTTTGGGATCTGGGGCTATAAAAACAGCTATTTTCAGACAAGTAAAAACATCTATTGTAGCTTGAAAACCCAAATCACCAACTGATAGTTCTAAATAGAACACTGGTTCTACATGTTCCAACAGCAGAAGGCGTTGGAAGATTCCATTGATGCATGTGGGTATAGACTATTGGAACACTTTTGGACAGGGGTGATTTAGGAACAATCCATTTGTGCGGGAGGGGATACGTCCAATTTGGTACGGGGGGTGTTGTGTATGTAGCCTTTTGATACATTTTCTCCCGAGCAAATGTTGACCTTTCTAGTTAAGATATATTTCCTTTTCTAGCCTCCCTATCCCCATTCTCGCTCTTTTTAATGCCTACGTATACCTTGGTCCTTGTCCGAGCCCATGGTTCCGGGAGGGCGGTCAGAAAATACTTCAGGCTGCTTGACGAACGCGTCCTGGATAGCCTTGTGCCTATAATTCATACAACATTAGACATAAGGGTAGATACAGTAGTACATCATGACTGTTGTGATACATTGACAGTAAGAGTTGATTACAAACCTTGCTCATCCCACAGCGCCAAAGTGATTTCGAATTACCGTGCGTTAATGTCAAAACGGAAAGGGCGTGTAACAGTGTAGCCATAATTTTAATTGTTTTAGTATTGCGTGCCACTAAGTTGTGTAATGAATGGGTCTAGTCTCGCCGTTACCAAGCCGGCTCCCATTAAACATTATTTACAGTCGTTGTATGCACAAGTAAAACCTACCCATTGAGCACGACAGCCAGTTTGGTGGCGATCCTCACACAGAAAACGTCCCCGTACTGCTGCCTCCAGGCCGCCAGGTTGGATAACAAGTGGCTTGGGCGAACGCTGAGTAGGTTACCGAGCAGGGGCAGTCCCCTCGGCCCTGGCGGGAGGTTCTTCTGCCGACCACCGGCGCCTAGGAGCCAGTAGGCCGTCAGAAAGACCAGGACCAGGACCAGGACGGACTGGAGTGTCAGGTTAGCCAGGAAACCACCCACAAAAGTCACAACCGACTCCATTTCTTACAGCGTATCGCCAACAAGTGCGCTGGACTTTGGACTGCACTACGGTCATGGGACACGCACGCTGTTGACCGTGGATGACTTCAGAGTGTACTACTCTATGGGGAGGGGATGCAGGGGCCTACGTTTAAAGACTAACGTTCTTATGAAAGCTAGAATGGACATTACGTAACTGTGAATATACCAGTTGTTAAATATCTGTATCTGTGCCAGCTTCGCAGGCACTCGACGCGGCGGCAGCTAGCTATATCACACCGAGCGACTTGTTACACTCAATCTTTGCACATCTAATTTAAGGAGTTGTTTAAAGCTTTCAAGTGATGATGCACCAACTGTGCTTGGTGGCAACAGTCTACGATAGTTCTTGGAAATATGATTTTAAAAAAGTATATATCTACCCATCGTGGATATATGACGGTATCTCAACATGCCCGACAGCTAGACCTGTATGAGTCTGTCGTTGCTGAGCTGCATCAAGCCGAACGGAGCGTTCCCACTGGGGTAAAGTTGACTGGATTGAACCCGAATCGAAGTCGGTCGCTGATTTATTCGACTCGATCCGGACAATTCTATCCTAGTGGGAAAAGGGCCATAGATAACCTTTATATTCATGCCCTATCGGGCTAAGTACAGGTATAAAATTGAATAAGCACATCTAATACCAAACCGTTCCTTGTCGCAGGTGTAGTTAATCCGTCATTGCGTGTACTGAACTTGTGACTTACATTACAGTATTAATCAGATCTTGTGAAATCCGATATATTAAGGTGAGACAGGAAGGCCATTTAAGATTATTCTTATGGCGGATTCTACATCGAAGTAAACAACGTATCTGGGCATCTTCATGTGGAACATCCTTAAGCGGAGATCATCAAATAGTTGAATGGATTTCCAAGAAATTAAGACCAACAATGTGCTTGGGAACGATTCACTTTAATAAGTAGACGTTTTAACATTCGACCAATTAATTGTTTCAAACACATGAATATGCATAATTACTTTATACCTACAATAGGAACGAAGCCATCTGTACACAAAACCTTAAAAGACTTCAATGACTGACTACAACTTGTGTTGTACCTTGTGTAGTTCGCTTAAGATGTACCATGTACCAAGGATTTCGACTAGCGTTTGGAAGTCCATATTCGGCTATGTGTGACAGGTGCTTAAGACACCGAAGTGTTTATTTCATCACTTTCGCTGTCCACAAAACTAGACGTGGGCGCCACACGAACAAAGGCGACTCCTGCCTTTTGATCATTGTCCTGATTACCCGCTGCCGTTGCCAGCTGTACCCGGTTAGATGGCCGGAACACTTGCTTCAGCGCCCTCCTGAAGTCCGGGATCCTAAGGCTATGTACTATCGGATCAGCCATCGGTGACAGAGTTCTAAAGAGATGCACAGCCACTTTGTGAGCTAATAACTGAGCATCAGACGCATTTCCCTCATGAACCAAGACAGCACGCCGCGAAACTATCAGAAATATGGTGGCAGAGAGGAAAACAAAGAGAACGACGATGTGTCGCGACAAGGTTTTGAAGGCGACCGTTTGATAAATCTTTAGGTGCTGGTTCGCATCTCTTTCCTGCTGTCGCCTAGCTTCTTTGAACACAAAGAAGTACAGTACGAAGATAACTAGAACGAATATTGCTTGGAATACGATTCCCATGTTTCTGATGATTGCCGATGCCCGGATGCTGTTCATAGCATCAGGAGCACATTCCAGACTGCCTGAGGCTTCCATCTCACCAGTGATAGCGACAGGTGCAATTCCAATAGAAATTGCTAGGACATCTACCACAAACATGCCTACTCCTACCTTCACTGTGGTAACCTCTATGTTATACTTTAAAGGGTGGCAAACAAAGCAATACAAATCTATGGCCATCAAGAAGTACGTACCGAATATTGCGATATTCGACAAAGCGCCGATGACATAGGTAAGCTCACATACTAACGGTACAACAGCATACAAATTTCCTCTCACAATTGTCACAATGTTTATAGGTATCAAAGTCCCGGCAAAGATGATCTCCACGACTGCCAGATGACATCTTAGGTAGTGTCTTGGTTTCTGGAGGGACGTCTTCTTGCAGACGAGAAAGATGACCAGCGTGTTGCACACGACGGCGACAACCACGCACAAGGCGTCGTACGCGATTTGAAAACCTTTGGACGTGGGGTTCGAGACGGCATCGAATCCCACAACGTCTCTTATACCTGTTGTCCTGTTCATTGTCCTCTTAATATTTGCCTGTGTGGATCAATTAAACTTGGGACTTGAAAGTTGCAGTGGAAGTAGCTAAAGCTGTTTCACCAGGAGTTGAGCCACGCCCACACAGCTGTAGATGGAAAGGATAAAGATAAGCACAGATAAATTTCTTGTCAAAATCTTGGTCAAAAACATCACGCATCTTGTATAGTGCACGCTAGTGAAATCCCCTGAATTCGAAGTTGGCAGTCCCCTTTAAATAGAGATAGAGATTCTTTGCTGACACAACAAAATAAAGGTCTCTACAATTTCACTACAACAACTACAGTGTATTGCAACAGCACCTCCTAATGCCGTTCCTATCTAAGCGTCCAGTGAACATTTCAAATTAATTTTTCAGTATACAACACCAAAAACACGACTGTTGGTTTAGGCATTATTACATTACTGACCCATGCATACGTTTTGTGTCTTCCTTACCAGTTTAAGTGGGAAAGTCCCATGTAAACAGGTCGTTGTGAATAACTTGAACTTGATATCCCATTAACCGTTCCAGATTAATGTTTTTGTTTAGTACCCTCCAAGAAAGAGAAGTAAACGACTGTCTACTTATCGTACGCTTGGTGTCTGCCTTACCTGTGGTTGTAGGACAGACCATTCACAGGGAAGCAGGAGTCTAATGTCTCGGTACGCACAGTTTAACGCTGGTGTCTCTATCGCACTGGCAGCTACAATACCTCTCCCTATATAGTGTGATACTTCCGGTTTAATTTGGTAGGGCGCAGCTGTGTGTTCCGATAATCATGGCTACTTTCCTAGAACTTAGCTGATAATCTTACGTTCCAATTCTCAGGTAATCAGGGGCACTAATAGAAATTTGTTATTCTCAAGTGATCAGACTTATGTGTACGGACGAAGGTATCCGTGTAAGTAGCTATAGGTGAAGGGTATCACCTGCTTGGGTGAAGGAAGCATCAGGTGAGGATATACTGGCAATTAAGAGGATTGGATCTTGATGTGCTAGAACCAATGTTTTAAGGGCGGGCTGCAGGAAGATAACAAACGAGTGGGATGCGCTCACTAAAGGGCATTCCACTCCTTGAAACCTTACCCAAATTAAAAATATAAGATGAGTTAAAGACGGCATCTCTCTCTCTCTGTCTCTGTTTCTCTCTATCTCTCTGTCTCTCTCTATCTCTCTGTCTCTCTGTCTCTCTCTCTCTCTCTCTCTCTCTGTTATCTATCGTGTGTCTGTGTGTCTGTGTTTGTCAACAAGATAACTCGATAAGGCTAAGATGGATTGTCTTCATATTTGGCAGGTGGGTACGTATTCATGATACCTCCAAATTATTATATTTTGGGCCAGTTGACGGCTTGTTTTTAATTTATTTTTTATACAAAATATATATATATTATAATCCAATTTCCGGAGTTACAGGTTTAAGACTGGCTATCTCCCCTAACGTTCGGAAGTAAGGTCTTTGTTTCATCCTATTATCGTTATTTTCTTCTTAAAAGCATGCTGAGGTCTGAAGTCTACCATACGCCCAGTAATATGTCTAGTAGTGGCAACGCAATGTTTTGTATCTCGGTACTCTACTGCGTAAATGAAGGCTCGACATAGTAAACCCCAATACTGTTTACCAGAGTTTACAGATTCGAATCTGTGTTTAAGGAATATTGTCTAAGTTCAGGTAAGTTTATCCGTCACCTTGGTCACCATTGAATTATAAATCAAATGCCTTTCATATCTGCAGCGCCATCTTCAACCGCCAGGGCCTCTGTTAGGAGTGATTCGGCCCCTTCAGCATCCACTTCGGGGACTCCGACCAGGTCAGCGCGAAATCCAGCAGTGTTTATGATGTGTACCGGCCGTCCATTTCCGTGCCGTGTCAGCAGTCGATGCGGGGCGGTACGTGGGCGTTCCCCCCAAACACTCAGTGAATTCGTAATCTCCAAGCAGATCCCTCTCGGTGGCAAAAAGACAGTATCAAATTGGCCAGGCAGTATCCATTAGCCAGAGAAGGTAGCCGGCCACCGACGGTTGGTGGGGGTAGCGACAAAAAAGGGCCATATATAAAAAGCTAACGATCATTCCCCCACAACCTCTGCTAGAGTAGTGAATTCTAGGGGTACGAAAGAATAAGCTTTTCAGATTCTATTTCATAAATACTACAGTAGAAGCAAAAGTAAGGCCTCTTATCAAGCAAACCTTGGTAATAAAACACATCTAGCTTTGAGAAAGCTGAGACCCACCTGCCTTTTATGCAGCCTAGTAGTCGGAATGAGGACTAGGTCTTGAAATAACCTGAGTGTACCAGTTTTACAAGAGTGTTAGATCCAGAAATAACCGGATTGTACTAGTTTCGGCTTTTTATTATGCAAACGTCTTGAAAATTGTCTAAATCCATTGGGTGGCCATTACGAGTTAGGCGGATATTTAAAAACATGGTAATCTAGAACTAATGTATTAGTCCTTGGCGACCTGTAATGCCCCGGCCTGTTTGGCCGTAAACAGGGTTAGTAGCAATGTTTACACATTAACTAAACCAACTTCGCCTCTGTGTTTACCTTTAGGGGCCCGTCAGTTCCTGAATCAGCAAGATAAAAGTTGCCGAAATTTACGCGGTTGTTTAATCCACCCCCATATTGACCAACACGCCCCCTACACCCACGCTTTACAATAAACACTAGTTACTGGTAAATAAATGACATGTAGGGTAAGAATTAAAGTTTGGTTAGTCAACTAATTCTAGAGGCTGCCAATGGTCAATTAATTTTGCTGAAGTAGGTTTTTTTTAGTTATACTATGTGTGTTTATTCATTTGCTCAACCTTCATGACCACGTAGATTTCATAATGAAGGCACCTTTTTATCCAAAGTTTTTTTTTTAACTCACCGTGTGCTCGCATCAGTTTTGGGGTTTCCAGAGGACGCCATCCATATAATCAAATTAACATGGCCTAAGGGGTGGAGACGCGCTTTAGCATCTAATCCCCCTGCCGTTTTCCGAAAGTATTGCAGGCTTCAGAACAGGTTGTTAGTCCAGTAGTAAAATCTTCATTGCCGTGGTAAATCATAACTACTATATATAACTGCAAATATATAACTATTTAGAAGTACACGTCTGTAGATACATGTATCTACAGACGTGTACTTCTGATGTAAAGGTCCTGTCACATTTGTTCTTAGGCTAAGGGCAGCAAATTGGGGGGGAGAGGGTCTTAAACGTATCGTACTAAACTTCAGATGTCTTACGAGAGAAAATACAGGTGCAGATGTTTAAGCTTGTCGTTAGTCGGTCCTGTCAAAACTGAAAACCCAACGACAGTAAAAAAAACACAGACAGTGCACGTTACCCCCCCCCCTCCTTCACCTGGCAGTGACGTCTCGAAGGTGAAGGTGAAACAATTTGTGCCAACAATTGCACCACCTTGCCTTATATGGACATGACAGACAAACATGGTGAAGAGTGTGTACTTTTATCCCTCGCTCTGTCGGGCATGACAAAGTGTGTGGACCCGCAAACATTAGCCAACACCAATCCGTTCTCGGTCGGTCAATATACATCTCATTAATGACCAATCGTCGACAATACTTAACTTTCAAATATGGCCTCCAGTACCCAATGTATGGTTTCTTTCTTTCTTTATTCCTTTATTTGAATTTACCACATGCAAAAACAAGTGGAAGGGAGGACAAAACAGGTGTATCAACGCCTTTACAAGTTGTCCTCCCAAACCTGAAATGATAATACAAAACAATACGGAACCAAGTCAAACAATAAACATTAGACATAAGACATAAAAAATCAGTAGACATGAAATATACAATTCGGTAAAAGTTATACACAGAATTGATTATGTACAAAAATTATCCCTGTTAGTATATCAAGATCTCACAAAAAGTCAGCTTAGTGCAAAGTAGAGCATCTACATTGCACACTGAACTTTGATAGATTAGACAAATAATCTACACACAGCGATATTTTTATTCAAATCATTCGTGAAAAACTCAACCATAAAGTATGGTGACTGTTAACGAGTTATCAATACACTGACTACAACTACATTCACTATGTTCATACGTGTTAGTAAACTGCAGATTGTTCGTAGACAATAAAAACCTTAGTGAAATATTAAAGATTAAGTAAGCAAGTGAAGTGGATGCCCTCAGACTGCGAGGACAAAGCATGACAGTTTTTCTATAGCTGATTGTGCAATGCATATGCGGCTTCGCCATGGCTCGCGTTTTCAGCCAAGCACACGGGCGGCCACTACTCTTCTAGATAAGCATTTGGAGTTCTTTGGCGTGCAGATTTTTGGCGCTTGGAGGCTAAGGCCTGAAACTCTCTTATCAAGCCAGTCGAACTTCACAACCACGTGGTCCCGGCAGCTTGAATGCAGAGTTGGTTTAGTAACGGCTCAAATGCAGTCGTGCCTTTTTTATATCTTATAAATTGTACGCTACTGGCAGGTGAACAGTCCTTAAAAGGGTCACGCTGTAACTGGTCAAGTCCTTGTGGGCTGCACATCAAGCAGAACATACCACTCTTCTTTAATGCACAAGTCCCCCTACCTGTCCTTATACATGTATACACACGCTGTCGACTTGTTTGCTAGAAGACGTCGGTTCTGTAGGATATATAGATGGTACCCTGGCCAGGTACACACCCTCCCACACCCTTCTTTCTTTCCCCGCATTCCTAGGAACAGTCCAAATGAGGTTGATGATGTGCCTCTTAAAACTTTCATTTATGTCCACACAACAGCCGTTACTTCTTCCGTAACGATAGCTAATTATCCGCGAAAATCAATTGTTTAAGCTCGTTAAGTCTTGTTACAAAATTACGGACCGTTATCGTGAAAACAAAAGGAGAGAAAGCTGTCGCGCCCCCCTGGGAAAGTCGGCACGGCCGAGGACAACGCCCTCACAGCCACACCTGTTGGCTCCTACTTAAACCCCGGGGCGAGTTTTTCGGCTCTCTTGGTCCGTTATATTCTCTGTCGGTACGGGCTGTACGCGTATACAGCTTACCAACACGGGAATATGGAGAAAGTCAGGCGGTTTCTATCATCGGTACTGGTGGTTCTTTTGTTGTGGAGCGTCGGGTCGTCAGGACAAGGTAAGAGCCGGACGTTTTTCTTTCTTTTTTCCCTATCTTTTATCTGTATAAAGATAGCTGCATAGCTGTTAGCTTTATTACGTGATACTCGTCTTCAGTTACTAGTTTTCTCCAACTTCTAAGAAGCTTCAAATTCCATATGAAACCTGCGCGCTGTTCCACTGATATATATAAATGATGACGATATATCTTTAAAAAGGAAAAATCGTTTATCAATGGTAAAGGTATGGATGGAAAGTGTGAAACAGACGTGTCTTTGTCACCGGGCGCTTGTTTGCTCAAACCGTGCGGCTTAAGATTGGCTTTTCTATTTTCCTTATTCCGTCCGGCAATGGCAAGAAAAAAAAGGTAAAAACGAATTCCTTGAACATATTGTTTCAAAATATTTCAAAACGATGCCGATATCGGAATGTTTTCTCTGCTAAAAGCACAAATAAATCGAGTGTTGTATAAGTATCCGGAGGTTGGATGCACCAGGTGAACTGGGTCACCCTAATCTGGCGTAACGCCCCACTTTCCTCTGCACTTGTTTTCTTTACACCGCTATTCCTCACAAATAGCGGACCCCAAAATATTCTCAAACCTTTGCTAAAATGGTCCAAAACATTATAGACATGTTTGGTTAACTTTTGTTAAATGGGTTCGTTAAATTGAGAAGAAAATGCAAGTTAGATATAGAAAGAAAGAAGTCAACAGCGTATACAGATGTTTTCTAGTTGTATCTGGTTTATGTTGGCTTTTCTTTTTGCACGATTGTTGTACTGTCTTTTTTGACATGGTCTTGTGTACTTTTACCCCGAGTGAGTTTGTATCAAGCCTGGCCTGTTTTGCGCCGCGATGCTTCTTTAAAAAAGACAATACGGTTCCTTTCAAACGTCTTCTTGATTAATGCGACTTAAAGGGTTGCGAACTGTTTGTCGTTTGTCCTAAATGGGGATATACATGTGTACAGGGTGGACTTTTCTCCTTCATAAGGACACTGGAGTTTCCACCGGAATTTCTGTTAATGCATTCGAGGAAAGCTGCACGAAGTCTTACCTTTAAGCATTTAAAGTATACGTAAAGGTATACGCGACTGAAGAAACAAAACATTTTCGCATACATTAATGTGTGCGTAAAGAATGGATTTTGTCCAGTGTCTCTCAATGAGACAACGATTTCGGTCCCTCAATTAGTGGACGTCGACAAAGGTATAGGCTTGCCATCGGTTTCGGTCCTCTCTTCTGTGTGTTTGTCTGAAAACGGAGATAGCGATTCAGGGCGGGGTGGTGTAGTCTTCCCTGTCCTGAATGGCGGGATGAGCTCCGTGCTGTCACGGTCTGAGTACGGTGGCATGACTTCTGACCGTGCACAATACCGCCCAGTCTCGTTTTTGTCCAAACCACAGTGCGTGCGCATATCTAGAGTGTTGAGCGCTCAGTTCCTATGAAAGGAGAGGACTAGGATTTTAATTAGGCTCGCATATTTTCTCATGTCAGACGTTTCCGATGACACCCCGCTATGTTGTGTGTTTTGTGTGGAATAGTTCTAATATAGGATAAATATGCGTATATTCAGTGGCGTAAAGTATGCTTCTTTCATAGTATCAATGCACCGGTACCTTTAAGTCACCAAGGTTGGATACTACGCCAGCCGAATGTTTCATAATGTTTAGAGCATACAGGAGTAGGCCAGCAGTTTTCTGGGCGTGTTTTGTAATGCTCAAGTTTAGCTCAAATTCGATTCGATTTGTAGAGAAAGTTAAGGCGTGGCCTAAATCTGGTCAGACTGCTCCCGAACGTCAGCCTTGGTTGGCTGGTGGTCGGGGGAAGGTTCTGAATGTGTGACAAAGGCTTAACGCATTAGACAGTATATCGTACTAGTAATCCGAACAGCATATATTGATTTTAAACTTTGCACGACATCTGAAAGTTATTTTTCGATGGATAATATTTTCCATTTTATGTATTTTGCAAAAACAGCCAAACTTTTTCTGCCCCATAGAAAATGAAGGCATCAATTGCCAGAGGAGTATATGTGTATATAGGACGATAAGAGAATATGGTGAGGTCACTTGAAGCGTGCGTGTGTGTGTGGATTAAATGTAGGCCGTGTAAATATTGAAATAATAAGGGGATCTAAAACTAACCGTGTGAATAATGAGTTTAATGCATATGTAATTTGAGTTTTATCACTGGTGAATGAAGGTGTTACTTACATCAATAAAGGCGTCAAAATCGCCACACCCACTTTGAATAAGGTCACCGTAAATTTCCCATTAATGACGTTATCATAACCTTTTTACTTAAACCATTTGATATTTTCCTTTTCGGCTGTGCGTTGTATTCTTTGTTGTTAATATGTAGAGATAGATTAAGGGCGTCAATAAGAGAGGCCACTGACAAGAAAGAAATGTAACAAGTGGTTATAAAAGCTACAGTTGTGAAAGTGCCACACACAGTTTAGCTTGACGTTTATCCTTGATGACGTTGTTGTAATATTTTTAGCACAGTCTTTGATGCTTTTTTTCGGTTCTTGGTTTTCTGTGTCAAGCCAGCTTAAGCTGGAGGACTTCATAGTACAAGGATACAAAGAACAAAGACATCCAACAGTCGGAAAAATAGTAAATCAGAGGGTGTTGTAGAAATATAGGCGTATACGCGCCACTCCCAGTTTGGATAAGATCTTTGTATTTTCTTCTTTTATCGGTCATAACTTTATTGTAAACTCCTAAAATTGTAAAGTCTCTTTAGAATTATACTGTCTTTTCTGTTACAATCTCCACACTACAAGTAGTGAATTTCGCAATAGCCTTTCAGACCAAAGCACGTGCTACAATCGGCATTCAGCACGGTAACGTATGCTGTCAATGATTAGCCTTAATGAACTTTGGTTGGTGTAATGAAGATTAAACATTGAGTGGAGATAAAAAATAATCAGATTAGATTAAGTCCTAATCAATGAATATGTAGTGTCTTAGAGTAAATTATCTGTTCGTAGAAGATGCCGTTCACTCATTCAGTCATTCATCTGTTCGTTCATTCATTCATTCATTCATCCATCCATCTATTCATTCATTCATTCATTCATTGGTTTACTCGTTCATTCCTTCGTTCATTCACTCCCACATTAGCTCAGCCACATTAGCTCAGTCAGTTGATCCATTAACATGTTTGTAAATGATTGGCACATAAACCTAGCACCTTTCAAATTAAGAGAATGTTCTGTCGAAACGAACGCCCACGCATTGTCAAGTAGACAAGAAAAATGTACGAAGATGGCAAATACCTGCGACAACTCGCGCGGTGTGTGCCTTCGCCTTTACACAAATGATGAGAAGAGAGGAGGAATACACAAATGTTGACTCATGACTTCCCTGTTTGTACAGACCCTCCTTCAACACACCGCACTCTCAAGCCACATAGCAACTGAGAAATGTTTTTCTAACATTTTACCGAGTTTCCATCACTAGTCAGTGGCGTATAGCACGGAGAGCCATGAAATAAAATACGTTAGAGAATGTTTGAATCTTAGAGAATGCACGTAGGAGGATAGTTAAACCCCACTGTTTCCGCTGACATATACTCTGTACATAGGATGACTTTACATGTATTTAGTTTTGTTCGATCTCAGACCATACGAAAGTCCCTGTACTTGTGTCAAGTCTATAAAGAATCTCTTATGTATATGTAGCATCACTGATGAGTGACTCATCGGGATAAAAATAGATAGATTTTAATAAAAAAAAGGACGTCGACCTACTTTTAGATGAACGTCCCACCCATGCAATTATAGAACACAATAGCGATACTAATGGCCTGTTCTATACCAGCTCAGTTGATGTGACGATGCAGGGCGTGGTTTGTGGATTACAACAATGATGTCTTGTTTAAAGCTTTGTGAAGTGAAACTACCCTTAGATCAACTTTAAAAACCCTTTACAAAAGACTTATACATCTATAGGTTATCAAAATGTCATGCGTGACTTGTATTGGTTTAGTTAAGGTGATGGGCCTAAGCATAATCGACGGATCACAAAAAAGACGCAGTGATGTTATAGTTTTGTTAAGTGTCTACATAATGTGTTTTGTAACATCTTTACAAGTGACGGATACATAAAAAGGTTATGAAAATGATGACCGAGCAGCCATTAAATGTCAGGGATTGAAAGGATTTGTTGGGTGCGTCAGAAGATTTGTTGGGATTAGCTAAGTACCGTTTGTCTAATCCGTGATTACACACAGGTAAGCATAGGGGTGGCAGGCGTACCTTCTTCGTGCGCATGCCCAGACACACCCTTTTCTAAGGAGTGAGACCAATGACCTCCGTAAAGTGAAGCTAGGTGCTCATTTTTACCTGAGTCAAGTGAAAAAATAGGTGTTAGGTACCTTCCAAAGGGCACAGCATTCAGGCCTGCTAAGGATTTGAACCCAGAACCTTTAGATTCTAACAACTCTAGGCAAACAAAGCACGTTGCCGCCTAAGTTAGGCTCTAGAAGACCATAATCCTTCATGCCACGCCCTTGTTGCTGATTCCCACCGACACCTGAATCACTAACGTTATATCTAACACTTTTATACAGCTAACATTTACAAAACGCACTTATATCTAATACTTTTACGCAGACTTGTCAAAACTTTGCCCTATTATCCTCTTCCTCCTAAACGCATCTTTGTCTTATAGTCATCGAGAAGGATATTGTAGGTTGCAATGACTAATCATTTGTGAAACCCAAGTCGAAAATGTGTACAGGCGTATAGTGCACATACATACATTACAGGTAACTTCAATCAACGGTGTAAGATGTACAAATAAGCTAAACATACCAAGAAAGCGTCCTGTTCATGAAGCTAAATCAGAGAATGTAAGAAGTTCTGGTTGAAAAGTAGTGTGTAAGACATTCCGGAATGAAAGTTGTTTTCCTTCCACTACGTACTGTAAATATCTTAGATGTATCTGTGCCTCAATGATTTTTATACCTGAATCAGTAATAGATAAAGATGTGTTTTATCTAGAAACCAACCACTAAACTTAATCAGATATTTAATCCATCTGTTTAATGGGAACCATAGGTTAGTCAAACAAAGGATGCATCTCTGGAATGCACCGTCCAGGTGGACGAAAAAATGGTGGGGAGAGGGGGGGCTATAGCTTCTTTTCCACACCATTCTTACTTCTTAACACGGCTTTTCTGATATTCATATCCAAACGCACACACACGTTCATTGTAATAGTGGCATTATAAATGTGATGGCTCTTATTTCCGTTTTGCTGACCGTTTGGAGAAATATGACAGCTGTCTTTCGCCAACATTCCTTTTCTTCCTCAGCCCAAAGTCCAAACAGTAACGCTTCGTCCGTAGCTCTTTTATTTATTAATTGACCGAAGATTGCCTGAAAATAAGCTGATTGCTTGCTTCAGTACTTCTCCCTCCGTGTTCTTTGTGTTGCTTGTGGCGCTCCTTATTCCTGTCCAAACTACCCACCTGAGTGGCGTGGCCGGTAGATGTCCGCCATTGTGGACAGCAAATACGAATAGACAAGCTCTGCTTATCATGAACAAGAGACCACGCATTTCGACATATTGAGGAAAACACAACTCAAGGGAAGGATAGGAAAAACCTTTACAAGAAAAACGTATTGGCAACGTCTTACTGAAAATATTTTCTGGGCAAGCTTAGTGCAAAAGAACGATCTAAGTTATCGTGAAACTCAGATATTAAATGTTAAACTTTGGAATATAAAGCCGATTGGTACATTCTCGGTTATGTTTATCTTTCGTAAATCTCCTTATGATACATCCAATTACAGCAGACGTCTTTGTGAAAAACAAGCAAACAAACAAACAATAGCAAAGATTCCAAACAAATTACTTAGACATGGAAAACAGATGATTCTTTGATGATATGTTTTGTGTGTTAGGGATGAGCCGGTCCATGACGGGATATGTAAACATGTACTCAGTGGAGACAAACATTGTACCACAAATATTCCTGTTAGAGGTGAACTGAACGGGGGATGGAGCGTGGATCCAACTTACAATCTTGTCCATCCTTTAGCATAAAGTTACCGAAAAGGTACCATGGCCGTACTAGGACATACATGTAGACGCAGTGGGTTGTTAATCTACCGTATCTTGACTACGGCATTTGAAGACGGAGCCTATTCCTCTTTTTCCTTTGCTTCTAACCTAAAAAAACGGACTTCACAATCCCATTTTCACTTCTGTGTAGTGAGAAATGCCGTGTTAAGTGCCTTTTTGAAGGATAAGCAACCTCCTCAAATCTGAAACTGTATTTTCACGATGGGCGTGGCAGTTTCGTCCCCTATAGACTTATCTTGGGCATAGCATACAACGAACAGCCCTTCTGATCTTTTTGGGTTCAAAAACCGACGAAACAGTAATTCCAGTTGTAGATTATATTCTTTTTGTTTAGCAAAACAGGAATCAACTCACCATGTGAATAGTAAACATGTAAGTTTCTTTGTACCAAAAGACGAAAGCAAAAAGCGGCAGTTTACCGTAGCATCTTTACGCCCAGCGAACCCGAACCGATTAACAAATAGGGTGTAACCCCCGAGTAGTGCAGTTTTCCCTGGCCCACATACGTCAAGAATGTGACGCTATGACAATGATAAACCACAATCACCTCATCTTTAAACATGCCAGGGCAATCGAAAAACGTTTAACCTGCTTCGACCATTCTTATTTACTCACAAGGGCGTCTCATTGAGGACACTTTGCGTCTTGTTGGCCCCTTAAGTTAGATCAGTGCCCCTCCCCATTGATAGCATTATCCTGGTCGAGGACATATCATATTACTTGAGTGGTATTAATCTATCAACGTTAACATTCTCGTCATGTTTCCAATAACACGCATTCTATGTATAATAAAACACTGATTATCAAACATTGTATCTGTAATGGCGTTCAGTGCTGTTTTTATAGTACTCTTAGTATTTCGAAGATATCTACGACCACTGCTACTACAACATTTGAATGACATTGTGTATCTTTGGTGGACAAGCTATCCGGTAAAACATCTCAAAGCTCGGGCACTCGGGCGCTCGGGCAGGGCCTGGCCACATACGTCGTACAATTGCCGTACGACTGCGCGTTCTTAGTGTCTTGCAGAATTACGTTGTCCTGTTTCATAAAATGTTGTCTAAGATTCTTGCAGGCAGTTTTTCAAACGAAAGAAGGAAAAGAAGAAGAGTTAGTTTTGCAGTCTGCTTGAAAATTCTGTGTCACTCAAAATCGTACGACGACCAGCGATGTTCTCGCGCCGTTATCTGACCATTCCGTGTGTTTATATTTTCCTGCTGCTCAAAGCGCCACCCACACGGGGCATAGTGGACACGTTATGCTGAGCACATCTTCAAATAATGTGTTTGTTGAGAAATGGGTCAGACAAACAGACGGTGCATCTCAGGAATGCACCTTCCGGACTCATGGGGGCGAAGGTCTTGTGTTCTATAACTTTAGCGTGACTTTCCTAAGCCTGTATTGTATCCTTACTACTCTGAGGCTACTGGACATAAATCGTTGCACTTGAGTCCTCTTTGAACCACAGATCCCTCCCTCTTTATGTATTACGCCCGTAGAGTCATTCTAAAGATTTGCTGTTATTGTATCCTACTATGGGTGTAACAGCCAAAAGCTTTATTTGCTTTCCACTTTTTTAATCTGTGCCAGTTTACGTCCACTTGTCAATTATCGACCATTACGGGAATAGATCACATGATATCTGATATGTCATAATATAACGCTGTCGGAAGATGAAGGTGTAAATGGGATAAATTTCTCTTTTCTAGTTCTCTTGGACTGCGTGACGACGAAAGGGAACATACCAAGTGGTCGCGTCACAAGTTCAGAGTATCATAGCCATATCATACGTTCGCAAAAACGAAGTCGGAAAAAAATCTCCAAACGTTTTGTACAATGGCAATGGCTGTCATTTTACGGTAGCCTGTGTGACATCCGATTACAAGTCTTTCATTGCAATCCACTGACTTTCCACAGCAAAGTCATACATAGATGCACAATACTCAATACTACACGTTTTTCATTTCGCAGACATCTGTAGTACGCCAGAGTTCACGGCACCTTCAGGGAACATCACTTCACCGAACTATCCAGCTGACTACAACGACCGGCTAGACTGTACCGCCCTCATCAGAGTACCCGGAGCATCAGGTGGGTGTGGCTAGCTTATAAAGTATCTACCAGACCATGGAGGTAGAAAAAGAGACCTCCATGACCAGACTAACAACACGGGTTCAAAAGCAGTCAAATTTAGCTAAAAAGGGGGAATAAGGGGCCATGGGAGTTTAGCCACCATAGAATTCGTAAAGAAATAATGTCATCGCACGCACAATACAGCAATCGTAGAAAGAAAGAGGCCAAGTAGTAATCGTGACGTTTTTGTAGTTCATCTAATGTGGGTCACAGTGGGTGTCGTCATCATTTTTGTATGCCGGGACTCCCATATTCGGTTACAAAAAGACTAGAAAGACTAATCACATGTAGAAGAAATGCTACATGGGATTTCTTCTTTTAACACTACCTAATCATCGTCGTCTTCCACAGGGTACCGGTTATTCTTCGAAGATTTTGAAGTAGAAGACCAGGACGGCAGCTCGTGCAAGGATGTGTTGGAGGTGGGCGCGAGCGACACCTATCCACTCAACCCGGTACTGACAAACCTGTGCGGTAACATCACGGTGCCCATTACCACGGTGTCCAGTCCCGTCGTCTGGCTCAACTTCTTCACCGACAGAAATGTCGCCAGGAGAGGCTTCTTCCTCAGATATGAGACCATTGGTAAATAGTCCACATCTACATTCGTCACACGTATTTGGGAGCGATTAAAACTAGTAGGTGCAAGTGTGATAACGATGTCAGCACTACTACACAGATAAACTCAAGTAACAACGGCTTTGAGTCCCCCAAAATCTCGGTCTTTCTGCCAAATGATCTCCAAAAACTTGTCACTTTAAATTGTTCTGAACTACGTTTAAAGAAGACGAACAAAATTCAATACTAATTTCCAAACGTTTTACCCAAAATATTAAAAGTAGTACAGAATTTTCGTACAATGATGCAAATATTTGCGAAGAGGACGCAAATATGATGCTGTAATTGGCTAGGCTATAGAATACTAGTACTATGAATGTGTTGCTAATCTGTAAGCGTAATACTTCCGACTTTAGGTGGATAATCAGGGACTCGCAAACTAAATGACCTTTGACCTACAATTAAATACAGTACTACCGACATAAGGTGCAAATCCAGTGCCGCTATCTTCCAACAAAGACAAGATAAACTCCTTTTTTTCTCGGACAGTTAGCCCTTGAACTTAAACAATGTTTTTCCATCCTTTCCATCCCAGTTCCGGCCACACCGGCGCCAGAATGTACGCAGTTCGGCGGAGTGGACCTGGTGTTTTTGCTGGACGGATCCGCCAGTGTCGGTACCGCAAACTTCGAGCTGGTCAAGGACTTCACCCAGCAAACTGCGGCAAAGTTCGACATCTCGGATGACAGAACAAGGTTAGAAATGACCAGTATATAAGGCAGACACATTTGGTGTACCGGTATGCTTAGATATACTAGTAGTGTCCTCGTTGGATAGATACAATTTGAGCATTGGAAAGTAACGGGTATTTTTGGCGACACCTCAGGTGCGGTGCCGATGATGTACTTTTTCCACGGGGTTGGATGAGAAAATTATATTCCTTACTAATACATTTTCCTTAGGAACAGGGACTTTGTTGTTTGTTGTTCTTTAATAAAACTTTAATGAAGTTTTTCAATGTTTTGAAACTTTTATTCTATGTATTCCTAGTAGGAAATTCTGTTTTTCAAATTAATTGATGTTACATGTTCAATCCTATTTTTTTTCTATGTGTTCCATGGGGGTTACTTATTTTTTCCATTCTACCCAGGCATGGAATTTGTTACTTTTTAATTTCCCGGAATTTTTGTTTCCTGCAGAGTTGCGGTGGCCCAGTACAGCAGTACACCCCAGGTGGAGTTTAATCTGAACACAAACTCAGATGTGGACACACTGTCAAATGCCATCGAGCAGATCACCTACATGAATGGTACATCCACATTTCTTTTGACTTGTCTAAAAGTGTGTGTCATATTCTTCAGTTTAGGAAAACTGAAGCTAGGGTTGGATAAAAATCAAATTCGATGGCCATGAATACAAAATGTAACTGTCTCACATAGGGCTGCCGAAAAGTAGAAAGAAGGAGAAAGTTTAACAATGTTTGTTTTTGTTCCACATTAATAATTATTTCTGTTGATTTGATTTACGTGTATAGGGGACTCCACCTTCACTGGCTTTGCCATCGAGTTTGTTCGCCAGAGTGCCTTCTCGAGCTTTAACGGTGCCCGCGACGACAAGCCTGACATCATGGTTGTTGTAACTGACGGTCAGTCCACAGATTCTGTGACCTCATCTGCCGCCACTGCAAGGTGAATACTCCTTACACAAGTTTCAGTCAGGAAGTATTGTTTAGGGTGTCTGAGTTGTGGTGGGTTTTCGTCTCTGTTTGTCCCAATAGCTTTGGTTGCATAGTGGGTGGGAGGTGATCTTGACAGTTGATTGATAGGAATGTCATGCCTGAAGGTGAGCCAACATGTGTAAGTGTATGGTATGTAGAAGAACACAGAAAGTGAGAAAGTGGTGTAATACCTGATTGAATTATATCATTTAATCAGGTATTCCCTCCAATTCCAATATCTTCACGACAAAAAAAGCATCTGAAATATGAGACAGTATTTCATAAATTCCATTGATTTCCTGTTGACAGGGAGCAGGGTGTGACGATATTTGCAGTGGGAGTGGGGACCAGTATAGGCCTGGCTGAGCTGGAGGAGATTGCTGGGTATACTGACAGGGTGTTACAGCTCAATGACTTCGTCCAACTGGCCCAGTCAGCTGATACCATCCAGTCCACCATCTGTGGATGTAAGTTCATCTTCCTTTTACTCAACATTTTAGAATCTCCGCTGGTTAGTTGATTATTGTTGGTTAGCATAATACATGTAACCAAAAAGTTTATTATGCCGATGTTTGCTCTTTAGTAGCTTATTACTAGTATTGGTAAACAGGGTTTTCTTTCCTAAACTACATGTACAGTGGCATATTGTGGGGATCCCGGAGCTCCAGTAAATGGTTACCGTCGAGGATCATTCTTCGAGGGAACTACCATCACCTTCGGATGTAATGATGGTTTTCTCCTGGTGGGCTCTACCAATGCCACCTGTAGGGGGGACGGCACATGGACAGATCCAGTCCCTACCTGTATAAGTGAGTTCACTTCATTTTTTACTCTATTCCTTCATTAGAATGACACAGCAAAAAATTATATTAAACAATTAATTATGATGGCCTGTTTACATTACGTGATTGGAAGATAAATGTTCTCTTTTTTTCCAGCTCCCTGTAACCCAAACCCCTGCTTGAATAATGGTGTGTGCCTGGCAGCTGGGAACTCCTACACCTGTGCCTGCACAAGTAACTACCAAGGGAACAACTGCCAGTATTGTAAGTTGCCATGAGTATCATCTACAGAGAACATTTAGTCCTCTGTAGATGATAGTTAAATGTGATATGCAGAAATCTGCAATTAATTATGCTATAAGCATACCATAAATTAGATGCAATTTCACAACATGACTGAAGGTTTCTTGCTGTATCAATATATCTACAACACAGATTATTTTTCATTTTTTCAGATACCCCCTGCCTGGTTCGTAATCCTGAGTTTGACCTTATCTTCCTGTTGGATGAGTCTGGCAGCATTGGCGTCGAGAACTTCAAATTCGTCAAGGACTTCACTGAACGTATGGCCAACAACTTTGACATCTCTCCTAATGGCACCAGGGTGGGCGTGGTGCAGTACAGTAACTTCCCAGGCACAGAATTCAGTCTCAACACCTTCACAGACAAGGTGGACGTGCTCGACGCAATCAGTAAGATCAGCTACAATGGCGGATCAACCTTCACCGGCGCTGCCATTGACTTTGTACGGACCAACGAGTTCACATTGGTGAACGGAGACCGCGCCACTGTACCAAACATCCTGATCGTGCTGACAGACGGAAACCCCAATGATGACGTGAGCGGACCAGCCATCGCCGCAAACAACGCGGGAATCACGACGTACGCCGTCGGTATCGGAAGCAACGTGGATCAGAGCAGCCTGGTACAGATGACGGCCGGGAGGGCGGGGCGAGTGTTGCAGGCTGCGAACTTCACGGACCTGACAACAGTCATCGAGACTCTGCAAGAGAATGTGTGTGACGGTGAGTACTTGATCAAGTCCTTTAAATTCACTGTATCCAGTTAAGATACACACACAAACATACACGCACACGCACACACACATACATGTCGTTCGTCCGTCACATATACACACATACACACATTATACCCTCACACACACACACACACACAAACACACATGTGTGCACACATACATGTACACATACACACAATGCACTGTGATACACACAATACACACACACAGTACACACACACACAAGTCACACACACAATAGTCACATACACACACGTGCACACACACACACACAATAAACACATATACACAATACACACACCACAATACACACACACACACACACAGTCTCACAAAGTGGTTATTCAAAGTATTATGGAATTAAAGGCTAAGATTAGTACTTAGTATCGACTGTGAGAAACATGATTTTGTAAACTCTTGTTCAACACACAGCTGTGTACTGTGGTGACCCTGGCACACCCATCAATGGTTTCCAAGTTGGTACTTACTTCGAGAATGACCTGGTGACCTGGGGGTGTAACCAAGGCTTCCAGCTTGTCGGTGCAGTGAGCTCCGTGTGTCAGGGGAACGGTGCCTGGACCAATGCTATCCCGACATGTGTGGCTTTAACAACTCCTGCCCCTACTCCTGCTCCAGGTATTGTACAGTACTTCTCTCAAGTTTTCATTCTCTAAAGTTTTCATGAAAGTTTAATGCTATGTTCAATGGATTTGTCAGGGTAGAGATAACGATCGGTCTGAAACAGCAAGTCATTACCAGTAGAGATGGCGGGATGGTATAGGAATGAGCTTTTACACTCATCGGAGGAATTTCAATGTCTATACTTTGATATATATCCCTATGTATACATTATGTACCATGCAATATAGTGCAAGTGTAATGCAGTCTTCTTGTGGCAGAGACCCCTACTGTGAGAAGAAGTAGCTACAGTCTGATGCAGCCTCAATGTTTATAACAGTTCCTGCCTTTCTGTCCGTCCCAGTCTGTGCCAACCTGGCCTACCCGGGTGCCGATCTGGTCTTCCTCCTGGACGGCTCCACAAGCATCGGTACTGACAACTTCCAACTGGTCAAGGCCTTCACTAAGGAAGTCATCCGTAATTTCGCCATCTCGCCAACCGAGACGAGGGTGGGGTTACTGCAGTACAGCGACACGACAGACAACGAGTTCTTCCTGAACGAGTTTGACACCAGGGATGAGCTGAACACTGCAGTAGACAACATTGTGTACAAGACAGGTGTGGATGAGGCTTTTAAGTTATGTAGCACCATAACTTTGCAGTGTGATAGCGTGTGTTGAGTCCAGTGGTTAGTAGTGTACATGTGTATACATGTAGTCCAGTGGTTAGCAACACTGCCTTTGGGCCAAGAGATTGAGAGTTCAAAAAACTGGACACAGTCCGTAGGACGGGACGTTAAGCTGTGGTCCATTGTTCATTGTGCTTGTTAAGATCATTCCACTTTACTATTATTGTATTATAAGAACACTATTAGATTGCTAAAGACTAAGTGCTACATTATACTAATTGATACATTGTGGCAGAAATTATATCTATTTCCTTCCTAATCTAAGGTGTGTTCTTTATTTGATAACATGTTGTTTTCTCAACAATGCCCCAATCCTTAAATGATTATATCTAAAACTAACACAGCGCTTATCATGTCCCCCAGGTGGAACCTTCACTGGATTTGCAGTGGAGTTTACCCGACAGATCGCCTTCCGAACCTCCGCGGGGACGCGTGACAACTACCCCGACATCCTGATCGTCGTAACCGACGGCAACTCGCAGGACGTTGTGACGAGCGCCGTGGCCTCTGCCATCGACCAGGGCATTCTGATCTACGCGGTCGGTGTGGGAAATGGCGTCGATTTCTCAACGTTGTTGGAGCTGACGGGAGGCGTGAACTCTCGCGTACTGCAAGCGTCGGACTTCACCGGACTGGCTACTGCTGCGCAAACTTTACCCACAGTTCTCTGTGCTGGTAGGAGCATATTATTCTTATGATATCACATGTACTGTATGTGTACAGTACTTAAAAGCATCCAGTATAACTGGGTTTAGAAAGTCAATTTTTCAGTCATTCTTGTAATAATCAAGTTGAATCAAATATATTTTTATATAATGCTATTCCATTGCATACTGATATTTTGTCAGGCAAAAATGCAATGTTGCTAACAGAAAACGGTTGCTTGTTTTGTATCGTAAGCTTTGATTAGTCGAATTCCTAGTGTTTTTTCGAGCTGCAGTAAAAACCAAATATCATTTTGGTTCACCCCTAAAGCTGCCTACTGTGGAGACCCTGGCACCGCCACCAACGGCTACAGACGTGGTACGTTCTTTGTGGACAGCGTGGTGACGTTTGGCTGCAATGATGGATACTTCCTCCAGGGGGCCTCGAATACCAGCTGCCTTGGCACGGGCCAGTGGAGCGACCCTGTGCCTGTCTGTGTTGGTTAGTATCAGTCTTCTTGTTTTGTTTTTTTGAAAACTTAAGAATGTAGCACACCTCCTCAATTTCAAGATGTTCTAGGAATGAAAAAAATGGTTTGAAACCCAGAGACTTAGTAATGTTAGCTGTAATATCTTAACTCTTTTTGCCTTTTTTTCTCCAAGGTATAATTATTTGTACGATTTCTCCACAGATCGGTGTGACCCCAACCCCTGCTACCATGGTGCAGCATGTTCTGTCCAGGGGGCATCTTTCATCTGTGCCTGCCCACCCAACTATGAGGGAGACCTCTGCCAATACTGTAAGACGAACAGTTTTCCAAATATCTCTCATTTTCAGATCTTACCGTCTTGGTACAACAGTTACTATCAAAGATATTCTGCTTTGTAGTCAACAAGATATTCTATGTCACCAAAGGATTTATCTGCACATACATTGTACTAAAACCACTGAGCTACATATAATAAAGCTATCTGAATTGCGTAATCTTAATTAGGAAAGATACAAACACCATAGAGATACAACTAACAAACACACAAAAAACATTGTCCTTCTTAATTTAAAGAGCACAATAGGTTTTACATTTGATTCAATACTCTTGTCAAGTATGGAATGTTACTGTTAAACCGTTTGTATCTGCTGAATGGAAAGCTCACTGCACCCTTAGCTTTTCAACGCCTGTTGTGGATTTCATTACAAGTAGGAGCCACCCAGCATCAGATTGTAGGTGAATTCAACATTGATTTTGCAAAGTGTTCATTGACAGACGTGATATCTTGTGAACTGTGTACTGATCTCTCTGCTGTGTGCGTCCACAGACACTCCCTGTTTGAACCGCTCGGTGGAGTTTGACCTGGTGTTCCTGGTGGACAAGTCTTCCTCTGTCGGCCCTGCCAACTTCCAACTGGTGAAGGAGTTCATGTACGACTTTACCAACACCTTCAGCGTCGGGCTGGCGGACACCAGGGTTGGATCGGTGCAGTTCGCTGACACCCAGACCAAGGACTTCGACATGGACTCCTTCTCTACCAAGGAACAGACCTTGGCTGGGATACAGAATATTGTCTACACTGACAGTCAAGTGGTAGGTTCAGGGAGATTACAATCAGTCTGTTCCTGTTCTGTTCTTGTAACAGAAGTTAGAGTAGTGGTTCCAACTATGCTAGCTCTCTTCCCCCAGCAAGTCTTTTAGAGATGATCACACCCATTTTCATCTGAGTGGAAATTCTTCAGCTGTTCTCTCAAGAAGTGCCCCTGCACCCCCTTCTTTGTTGATTCCCTTCTGGAGAAATCTGCCCACTGACCATATAGGTTAAGAATAATCAAACTCACTTTAGGTGCCAGGTAGCATCAAGGTCTGAAAGATTCAAAACTTCTTGTGATTCTGTTCTGTTCATTTTGGCACATTGACCTTGTACATGTATTAGTTCTTCATAAACAAACAACTTTTGATTTCAATTAACATTCAACATCTGTATGTCTCATCAGTATCATCACTTGTGTACTTGGTCAAGTCATTTATCACAATCTCTGTCCATGTTTGTATCCAGGGTGGTGTAGTTACTGGAGCAGCCATTGACTACGTCCGGCAGAACTCGTACACGCGGGCTAACGGAGACCGTACCAGCGTGCCGGACCTGCTGGTGGTCGTTACATCGTCTGCCTCTACAGACGACGTGGCCGCCGCTCAAGTCACGGCTGAAAAAGAAGGTGGGTTGAAAAACTCACAAGTGCCATTTGAAAACTCACATATGCACATTAGACGTATGTTCCACAAAGACTGTGTAGTATGATAATGTTTGCTCAAAATTAATGTTAGCAAAAAAAAATCAGAAATGAAAAACTTTTGTTCCAACACAAAAGAGAAATGGGAAAGGGAAACCTAGAGCTTTTAACCATTCACTCTCAGTCTTCCTCAGTAGACCCACAGTAACTACCAAACACAGATGAACTTTCATGATGGTAGTATTATAACAAATGCCACAAGGTGTAATTGTCACGCAATGCATCTATGCAGGAATCACCATCTACACAGTGGGAGTGACAAACAGCGTGAGTTTTGCTGAGCTGACGTCTACGGCAGGGTCGTTATCACGCGTGCTGCGGGTTTCCGACTTCAGTGAACTGAACACGGTCAGACAACCTCTTCACGAGACCATCTGTCAAGGTAAGAACATATTACAGCACATTTTTATACAAATTTTAATATCTAGCATCAGAATTTGTTAAGATTCTGTACTTTCTACTGCTGTATGAAATATGCCAACATTGCAACTCATTATTTTCACACATCTACATTTCAAATGTATATATAAATTTTACATTTATCCTGATAAGACATTGATCTACATGTATACTTACATGTACAGTGTAAATCTCAGATCCTGTATTTTACAGTGTAAAACACGCCAACTTGTGCAACTCATTATCAGAACAACAGTCATGTCTACAATTGTCTACAATTCATAGTCTCCAACTATATCCAAGTTTCATAATATCAAGTTACCATATACATGTATATCATGATTACTGTGGTTAACTGTCATGCTGAGCCATTTTGTTTTTAATTAGTATGACAAATTTATGATTTTTTTTCTTGTGAGCAGCTGCCTTCTGTGGTGACCCTGGAACCCCAGCTAACGGTTTCCAGCAGGGAACGTACTTTGAAGGAAATACTTGCACCTTCGGCTGTAACTTTGGCTTTGTGCTCTCTGGGATCGACAACACCCAATGTCAGGCTGACGGGTCCTGGAGCAACCCTGTGCCTGTTTGTGTCGGTAAGAACATGACTTGTCAATGAATGTTGTGACTGATTTTTTGTTTGTCATCCATGTTTTTTAATATTATCGGTGAAGCCAACAGCATTTTATTCAAACCAAGTGCATAAACTATTACAAAATATCTCTTTTCTAAAGACTCATGATACAATTGTGCAGCCAATCACAATTAGTCCAAATCTTTTATCCAATTATTTGAGTCACACATTGTCATCACACTCCTGTCACCCAACCAGCCAGCAATTCCCAACTTGGCCTGGCCGGCTTTTTAAAAAACTATTTCTTGAATGTTTAATTTACGATGTAATTGCTGCATTTCCTACATGTATTTTTTTCTGCATATTGTTCATTAGTTCGTTTCTTTTGCCATACATTGTACCAGGTACAATTATTGTGGAATAAAATTCTCTATAACTTGTTGTATTCTGCAGCCGTCACCACCCCAGCGCCCACCCAGGCCCCGGCCTGTAACAACTTCCCGCTCTTCAACGGTACTGACCTCGTGTTCCTGTTGGACGGCTCCGGTAGCGTGGGTTCTGCCAACTTTGACCTGGTCAAAACCTTCGCCAAGAATGTCGTACAAAACTTTGACATCTCGCCGACTGCCACGAGGGTGGCTGTGGTTCAGTACAGTGACCAGCTCCAAACTGAGTTTGCTCTGAACGCGTTCTCCTCCAAAAACGAGGTGAGGATACTAAATTTAACATAACCTTCAAGCTGGTAACATTGTTTTTCTATTGTGTGTTCTGTCCATATGGGACATGATGAAAAGAGGAAAGCAACACACTTTCTCACAATTGACTTTCTTTCTTTAATTGTTGTGTATTGAAGGGAACAAATTTGTTAACAGAGTTTAGACTCTTGCGCATACATGTAGTTTCATACTGTACACACAAATTCATCATGAAATAATGCAAGACAATAAGTCTTTTTTCTCAAGAATTCTTTTTAATGTATCTGATTCACATTGTTACGTAAAAGCATGACAGTCACTGTAAATATCTTGATGTAACATCTAAATGAATGAAAAATAGATTAGTGTTAACACATGTTGTATCTTACAGGTCTATGATGCCATTGACAACATCAGCTACTTAACTGGCGGGACCTTTACTGGTTTTGCTATCGACTTCGTCATGCAGAGTGTCTTCACGACCCTCTCAGGGGAACGTGACGGTTACCCTGACCTCCTCGTGGTGGTGACCGACGGGTTGTCCAGCGATGCCGTCTCTGGTCCTGCGTCCACCGCCAGGTCCCAGGGAGTCACGATTTACGCCGTCGGTGTTGGTAATGATGTTGACTTCAATACTCTCGAACAGATTGCAGGGCTGACGTCAAGAGTGAGTCAAGTCAGTGACTTCTCCAGCCTGGTGACTCTCTCACAGACTTTGCCTCAGGATATATGCACAGGTACAACTCTTACACTTATCTAAATTAATGATTTGTTACAAATGTAGTTAGCTGATAAATGGTTCCAAGATGACACATTTTTGTCATCATTTCATACTTGAAGCATTTGAGATAACCCCAAAACAAGCTACGTGAGGCATCTCATTTTTTCGGGGTACAATAACAGAACATGTAGCCTATGATACCAAACAAGCAACCATTTTCTGTCAGCAACATAGCATTTCAGTATGCTTTGGGATAGGGTTAATTCAACTTACTACATTAAAAAATGACCACTGAAAATTGACATTGCAAATCCAGTTTTGCTGCTCTGAAATTGCATTGGAGACCTTACACACTTCTGTTACAATCTTCCTAATGTAGCTTGCTACTGCGGGAATCCTGGAGCACCAGTCAACGGATACACACGTGGAGGGTTCTTTGGAGGCAGCACAGTTACGTTTGGCTGCAATGACGGGTTCTTGCTGCAGGGTGACACCTTTGCAGTCTGTCAGGCTGACTGCACCTGGTCTGCAGTGCCCCCTGTTTGTATTGGTAAGTAATGCAGCAACACAATCTGTGGTAACAATTGTTTTACATTTAGTAGTCTTGTATAAAAGAGCTAGAAAAAGTAGACTTTTATGTGAAATGTTTAGGAGTGCTACACTTCCACTTTGCCTGTAAATTCTCCAGAATCAAGTATCAAGTTATCAAAAATTTGAAATTCTTCTTCACCCGCACTGCAGATGTTTGTGACCCCAACCCTTGCTTTAACGGTGGCACCTGCCAGGCTGTGGCCTTCACTAGCAGCTGCACCTGTCCACCCATGTATGAGGGAGACCTTTGTCAGAGATGTAAGTTACCAGTTTACGATAATATCATTACAGAAATTGAAACACATGTATAACATTCATGCCTTACACTGTGCCCTCTAGCAATATTTTATATCTTACAATCTTCATATAGGTTGTATTAGATGAATGTTATTTAAGGTAGCAGTCTTATAGAATTCTTATAGTGCCTTACATTGCTCCCATTGCACTATTGTTGTGCAATAATGTTGGTGCTAATCATTGTATATATTAGGAGTTAGTGTACATGTAGATACCCCTTATTTTATTTTAAATCTAATTGTGATACAGATATTTTTTGTAAATGTTAAAATAAGGATTCCATGAAGATTAGTGTACGTATTTTGTATCAATTTACTACTAGAGAATCATCATTCAATCTGTATTTCCAGATTCGCCGTGCTACAACAGAAACATCGAGCTGGACCTGGTGTTCCTGTTGGACGGATCGGGAAGCGTGACCTCCGCCAACTTTGACATCGTGAAGGAGTTCACTCGTCGCCTCGCCAACAACTTTGACGTCAGTCTGGCGGACACCCGGGTGGGAGTCGTCCAGTACAGTGACTTTCCTACCACTGAGTTTAACCTGAACTCCTTCAACACTAACGAGCTGGTGGACTTAGCTATCAGAAATATCCAATACCAGGAGGTAGGCTTGTTTATCATGGAAAAAACAGACTTGGTTTATTAATAGTACTGAATTTCTGTCATACAATTGCGTAGGATGTTAGAATATTGTATTTTCTGTAGTTTTTGCCAAGTTGGACCTACATGTACATGTGTAGAGGATGGATAGTTTGAAGTTTCTTTCTAATCATAGACGCTATTCCCATTGAAGAAGATCTGAAAAGAGTCAGTGTTAGTAACCGGTAGGTCCTTGTATAACTTCAGACCTAGTTTATCATTACCTAGTTTTGTAATAAATTGCAAAATGTAGATTCCATTTCTGAACCTTGTTTTGAATCCCCAGGGTGGAACAGACACTGGTGAAGCTATCGACTTTGTTCGTGTGAACAGCTTCAGCGCAAACAACGGAGACCGCAGCGACGTTCCTAACGTCATGATTGTGGTGACAGATGGACAGTCAAGCGATGATGTAACAGTCCCCGCCCAAACTGCCCGCAACGCAGGCATCACCATGTACGCTGTCGGGATCGGTAACGGTGTGGATGCCAACGAACTGCTGCAGATTGCAGGACAGGCAAACAGAGTGGTCCAGAGTGCAGATTTCTCCACGTTATTCAGTGTTGGGGAAGATTTGCAGGAGCTTGTGTGTGACGGTGAGTTGTTTATTGTGCTTTCGATGTTGTGATTTGCCATAAGTGCCAGACAACATAAATGCATAACCGTTGTTTAAGTCCTTCAAAGAAATGATCCGATTTTGGATCTCCTGGTGGCTTTCCTTGGTACTGCAGCAAAACTTCTAGCCTTGATATCTTATGTTCTGGACTTGCTAATCATACATTTTGTAGCTTAACCGAGAATATTGATGTTTATTCTCCTAGCTGGATGGTGTGGAGACCCTGGTGCACCAGTGAACGGCTTCAGGCTGGGTTCATTCTTCGAGGGCCATGTGGTGACGTTTGGCTGCAATGCTGGGTTTATCCTGAACGGAGCCTCCTCAACAATCTGCCAGGGGAACGGGAACTGGAGTAATGCTGTCCCTGTCTGTATTGGTAGGACAACACACTGCACTATGTATTTGTGGGATAAAACGTTAGTGATGGCAGAACCTTATATGGGCCATACAGTCATTAAGTTTAGATTTAAGACAATCTCTGAGTGTTCTCTACTTAATGTCTATGTAATGTATGTGGCATATCTATATACATTGTACATGTTTAATAGATAATTATGACTGTTTCTTAAAAATTTTAGTGTATAGGGAAAGCCACCTCTGTTTCTACAGCCATTAATGGGCCACAGCAGGGGGCTTGTGTTAAATTATCATACTCTTTCTCATATATGCTGAGCACTAAGCTAGCAGATAAAGCCATGTATTCCCAAGTCGTCAGTACGACTTGATCATACATGCATAGAGGCAACTTTTTGAATGTAAAGAAAGCACTCTACGTACTAGACTATTGCACCAGTTGATTTAATTACAGGGCTAATATGTTGACATATATTCCCTGTTGTCCCAGCCATCACAACCCCTGCCCCCACCCGCGCCCCTGTCTGTACTGACCTCTCCTTCGGTGGACTGGACCTGGTCTTCCTGCTGGATGGGTCGGGAAGTGTGACCGAGGCCAACTTCGACCTGGTCAAGGACTTCACCAGCGGAGTGGTCAGCGAGTTCAAAATCTCAATCAATGAAACCAGGTTTGTTGAAGGATACTGTAATTCACTTTATATTCGTGTTGTAAGTCTATAACTCTATGGGTTCATTAGGTCTGTTGTCTATTTGTATGGGAGAAAAATTTGTTGTTACCTAGTTGAAAATAAAAGATTTAGTAGAATTACTACATGTATCTATGATTATCATTGCCAAGAAGGTCATGTTTTGAGGTCTGTGAGTCTTTGAACAGTACTCGAGAAGTCATGGAACTTTGTGTTGGAACAAGTTCAGTATCATGCTAACACAGTGTTTTTTTATTCTTCCAGGGTTGGAGTTGTACAATTCAGTGACACTTTACGCACAGAATTCTTCCTGTCTTCCTTTTCCACCAAGCAACAAGTCCTGCAAGCCATCTCAGATATCGACTACCTCCAAGGCAACACCCTGACCGGCGCTGCCATCACTTTCACCACGGCCAGTTCCTTCTCTACACCCGCCGGAAACCGCGCCAACTTCCCCGATTTCATGATCGTGGTCACGGACGGTTTATCGCAGGATTCCGTCGTCCAGCCGGCTCAGAGCGCTCGAGATCAGGGAATCACCGTTTTCGCAGTCGGTGTTGGAAACGAGGTTGATTTTGCCACGTTGCTTCAGATCACCGGGGTGCCAGAGTATATACTTCAGGTTACGGACTTCTCGGATCTGCTGTCTGCTCAGCTGCAAGTGGCAGAGATCGCCTGCAACTGTAAGTGGCAAAAACCTGAAACTCTGTCTCTGATTTTTCAAATTTAACAAGTCATCATAGCTTCAATGGTATTTAATAGTGTAATACGTTATTTCTTTGGCATTTATAGGTGTTCCACTATAGCACATTTTACGAATGTTGATATTTTCAGCACCAAGGACAGGTTACGATATCAATTTTTTTACCGTGCTTGGATTGTATACCCAGGTTTGTGTCAAATTTAACATGAGCCAAGCAGTCATCATAGCTTGAATGGTTTTTAATATGTTATGTCTTTTGCATCTAATGGTGTTTACTAGTCTCCCACAGCTAGGTTGTAGGGTGAGGATGAATAAAATTTCAGTTGAGAACATTTGACAAATGTACCAGGTTTTCAGCACCAAGGACAGGTTGCAATATCAATTTTTTACTGTGATTTGATTGTATAACCAGGAGCAACTACATTGCTTATGTGTACAGGTGTTGTTTTAGGAAAAAGATCTGAATGAATGTATTTCTTTTACAATGTGCATTGTCATTGACACATCATAGATATTATTCAACAAAGCAGCACAACTCAATGCTAAATGGAGTGCTAACAGCTACGAGTCTATGTTGTAGTTTGATATGTTATAGGACCTAGTAAAAGACTGCACACTACTCGTGTTTTGCATAGTGTCGTACTGTGGGGACCCAGGCACCCCCATTAATGGTTTCCACCGAGGCAGCTACTTTGAAGGGAGTGTTGTGACCTACGGCTGCAATGATGGCTTCATCCTCCAGGGGGCGTCTTCCACCACCTGTCTGGGTAACGGACAATGGAGCGACCCAGTTCCTGTCTGTCTTTGTAAGTTGAATAGAATTTATTTTGTTTTGAAAAAAAAACTGTTTGTTGCAACACTGTATCATGATTTGTATGCACAGATTTAGCTCAGCTCAGTGAGAATTCTTATCATCATTATGGTAAAAAAAACACGGTAAAAATAGTTTTATGTTACCATATGGTAGGTTGTTGTAGAAGTTATTATGATTGGTGTTTGACTCTTTTGTTATTGAAACTTAAAGGTATTAAAGGTATTATATATTGTAAGCACGACAGATATCTTGACAGGGAATGACAGTCACTGACATAAACAAGAGTTTCAATTGCTGAAAATCTCTAGGATCAAATTAATATTACAGTAACTGTAGCTGTAATCTTTGTTTGTATTGCTAGATTTAAGTTGTTTTTTCTACCCACAGTCCCAACCACCACCCCAGCCCCAACCACTCCAATGCCAGATCCAGGTACATGTTTGTTTGTATTGCTAGATTTAAGTTGTTTTTTCTACCCACAGTCCCAACCACCACCCCAGCCCCAACCACTCCAATGCCAGATCCAGGTACATGTATGCCTATTTTGTGACAGGGAAGTTTTTCACAAAATATCAGCTGCATGTATGTAAATATAAGCTGAGAACAGTGAGAAACCTTTGTCCAAAGTGCTCTGGTTTGTCCAAATTTAATCTGGACGCTGTTATACGCAATTGTTTGGTGACTTACGCATGCTGTGAAGAACACAATGTTGTGAGTGCACTACCTCACAGCATATTATAAGGAAGATCATTAACAAGTCTTTTGTTTTTCCCCAGTTTGTGATCACTTCACCCCCGTGGATATGATATTCCTACTTGATGGATCCAGCAGTGTAACAGAGCCTAACTTTGAGCTGGTGAAACAGTTCACCAGGAACGTGGTCGTCAACTTCAACATCTCGTCTGAAACCACCCGTGTGGGTCTGGTGCAGTACAGCGACACCATCCGTACTGAGTTCTTCTTGAACAGCCACCCAACACGGGACCAGGTATTTGTTTGATTTATTGAAATTGTAACAGTACAATACAGGTGGGACACATGCAGCATATTCTTTGTTCTTAATATGATACAAGTGTATTTCTATATCCATTAATCTGTGTAATATATTTCAGCTTCTCACGGCCATCTCTGATGTGGATTACCTGCAAGGGAACACCCTGACCGGTGCAGCCATCGAGTTTGTCCGCACCAGTTCCTTCTCCGTCCCGGCCGGAAACCGCTTGACCCTCCCTGACGTCCTGATCGTGGTGACCGACGGGCTGTCCCAGGACGATGTGACCGGTCCTGCACAGATCGCCAGGTCAGCAGGGCGGAAATACTTTTTAAAGGCAACCTTAGCCAGAAGCTATGTTGTCCCATCGAGCAACCCAAAGCAAAAGATAGCTTGTCCCTCTGGACAACCTAAGGCAAAAGCTAGGTTGCCCATCAACATTTTGGGTTACCCAAGTGCAATATTAGGGAATGCAGCATAAGTACATGTAGCTCCAAACAATTTTGGTTGCACAGTGCAACTGCAAAACCAGGAATTTTGAACACTGGTTAGTGTTGATGATTAATAATTGTACTGAGCCTCTTAGTAATTGCAGCAATGCCTCAACATTTCTTTTTCTGAGACTAGCTTTACATTGATGCTATGCCCTCTATGACATACATTATGTATACTATCATGATGACAATTTTGTGGACACCCTTTAGTAACTTTTGTTTAATACTTTCATCCATGCGCTGCAACAAATTGCTCATCGACAGATTTAATTTAGTAGCTCCAGTAAAATGGCAGTACAAGTAGTACTACATGAACTTTTCTTTTTCAGGGACAATGGCGTCGCTATCTATGCAGTTGGCGTTGGGAATGAGGTAGACTTTGCCACCCTGTTTAACATCGCTGGAGTCCAGTCCAGGATCCTACAGATCAATGACTTTGGCTCACTGTTGAACGCGGTGGAACAACTAACGGAAATTGTCTGCAACAGTAAGTGCTTGAGCGACTTAAGCTTGGTGACAGAAAGATTAAGTTCTGTTTGCATTTCAAAAATGTTTTTGGGTCGGTATGCAATACTGACTGATTATTTATTAAAACATTGTAATATAATAAGCTCTCAACAGAAATTTCTGAGTCTCAAAATTTTTTGTATGATGTGATTTTTGGGAAACAGGAAAAGGGTTATATTTGGGGAAGGCGTACATTGTATATACTGTTTGAGATGAATTTTACAGTAATACAGAGATACAGTACATGTGTGGTTATAACATAGGAAAATGTTGTATTTTGGTGTTGTATGGTCCTTACCAATGTTTACCTCTACAGTTTCCTACTGTGGTGACCCTGGTGCACCTCTGAACGGCTTCCGTAATGGGAACTTCTTCGAGGGCAGTCTGGTCACCTGGGGCTGCAATTCCGGCTACTACCTCATGGGGGCGCCGAATGCAACATGTTTGGGCAACGGGCAGTGGAGCAATCCTGTTCCTATGTGCATGGGTATGTACAATAAACTTTGTACATGTGGTATAAGTGAATAATTTCTATAATGAAAATATTTTCACGTACAAGCAAATGCAGAAACATCATCAAAAGAATTGGTATGACAAATTTTTGTATTCAAGATTGGGTTGTGTGTACATGTACAGTTCCAGAATACATTGCACATTATCTTTATGTGATGATCATCATTGTTGTCATCTGATTTGACTTACAAATAGCTGTTATACTTTTTTCAGAGATAATCACAACACCAGCACCAACTGAAGGTAAGCACAGGGTATACAATCATGTATATCATGACAGATTAACTGATTAAGAGTTACTGAGGAGAATCTTTTTTGGATTGAAAATTGTTTTAGATTTTAATGTAATCAATGTTGAACATTATTCATTGTTCAATGCAGTCATCTTTATGCCATTCTAAAGTAAAGGGCAGTCACAAACAGTGAACAATTAAATGATTTCTTCAGTGGATACAGACATTGTAGGCATTGCCATTATTGAATCCTGTTAGCAATGGAAGCAGTTGATTTGTCTTATAGAAAAAGTGACCTGGTAAATACGACGTGCATGTACATGTATATGTATTTTGTATGCAGTAATCATTGCAAACAATTAATGGCCTTTATTTATTTGCAGTATGTGAGAGCTTCATCCCAGTGGACATGGTGTTCCTGCTGGACGGCTCCGGTAGCGTCACGGAGGCCAACTTTGAACTGGTGAAGGATTTCACTCAGGACGTCATCCGGAACTTCAATGTCTCGATCTCCGCCACGAGAGTCGGTATGGTTCAGTTCAGCGACACCGTCCGCACCGAGTTCTTCCTCAACACCTTCCGAACGAAGAATGAGGTACTACAAGCGGTTGACGGTCTGGGATATCTCCAAGGGAACACGCTTACTGGGGCAGCGATCGACTTCGTCAGGACGAGCACCTTTTCTGCGCCCGCGGGTAACCGGCCGGACCAGCCTGACTTCCTCGTGGTGATCACGGACGGACTTTCGCAGGACAACGTCGCAATCCCCGCACAGACGGCACGCGAGAACGGCATCTCTATCTTCGCGGTGGGAATCGGAAGTGAGGTTGACACTGACACTCTGCTGCAGATTGCGGGAACTCCCGCCCGAATCTTGCAGATCAACGACTTTGCTGGGCTGGCCAATGCTGAGGAGCAACTAACAGATATTGTCTGCAACAGTAAGTACATTGTATTGTGTGAAACATTATGTTATGATTTAATATTGATTGAAAAGCCTTTTTCCTAATATGACTTATAGTCATCTTTTTATGTGAATTATTTAACAATTCATGCTACATTCAAACTATCATACTTCACAGGCTTTGAACTAGATGGGTACACAATCATTGTCATTATAGAAATTGTTGAAAGAGTTCTTTAAAGATTTGTTATGCATTTGTAATGATCATCTTCTGTTTTGAACGCTCACCAACTAGAGGAAATACCTCTCAATGGTAAGTAACAATCATATGAAATACAATGAATAATCACAAGTTGTGAATAGATACATGTAAACTTTATGCAAGGTATTTCACTTTGGGGGATATGAGCCTTGTTGATAATAAAATCATGTACAATCATGTAGAATCAAAAGTTACAGCAGTAAGTAGTAAGTGTTTTCACATTATTTGTATTTTTGTGCACAGTCTCTTTCTGTGGTGACCCTGGTACTCCTGTCAACGGTTTCCGACGTGGAGAGTTCTTCACCGGTAGTACCGTCACGTTTGGGTGCAATGCCGGCTTCATCCTCCAGGGGGACACTGACACCATATGTCAGGAGAATGGGCAGTGGACCAACCCTGTCCCTGTGTGTGTAGGTAAGGACAGACAGGTAGTCTTGTAGAATGTATGACAAATGTAAAGAGACTATTTTGCTTCTGCTTTTAAGATAACCTAGTACATATAGTGGCTTTCCTAACTATTGTAACATTTCCCACTAACAACCCAAGGTAGCATGACCAGAATCTTGACAGTTTCTTACTGTTTGTTTAGCTTTAGGTTTTCTTTTGATTCTTGATAGTTTAGTTTAGAACTATATTCTTCTGCTTTCTTACTTATCATAACCCTTTAATCCCTGTTTAGAGATGACAACAACCCCAGTTCCTAGTACAGTGCCTGCTACAACAACTCCACTAACAACCCAAGGTACATGTACTGTAAACATAAACTGGATCTTGAAGGTTTCTTGCTGTTTGTTTTGCCTTTTTGTCTTGCCTTTTTAGGGCAAGCTGTGGTCAAATTGATAAGCAAATTGATAATTAAAAATGGAAGGATAATGACCAATAAACTATTTATTATTACCATGATGATTAATCCCCAAGTTCGGCTTTTGTTCCAGCCGTGACTACCGTGGCGCCCACCCCGCCCGCCCCCACCCCCGCGCCAGTCTGCAGCACCATAACCCCAATCGATCTGGTCTTCCTCATGGATGGCTCCAGTAGTATCACATCACCCAACTTCCAGGTTTGTTACTGTTGTTGTTTGAATTGATTGAATCTCTATATTGTGTGCAGTATTACCTTATGTATATTATCTACCTCCTATGTTACTATTGGATTTGATTTGATTCGACTCCATTTTTGTATTACCGGTACCGGAGTAACATACCATTTTAAATTTGTATGTTATCTTTTGTTGGTGTGTTATAAGCCCATTTGGGCTGGACAGCATGTAGTCGCAAGACACAATAATAAACTTTCCTTCCTTCCTTCCTTCCTTCCTCCCTTCCTTCCATCTATCCATTCATTCATTCAATCAACCAATGCATTCATTCATTTATTCATTCATTCATTCCAGATCGTCAAAGACTTCACGGCCGATGTGGTCCGAACCTTTAACGTGTCATCTGCCGCCACCAATGTCGGTCTGGTCCAGTACAGCGACACTATCCGGACTGAGTTCTTCCTGAACAGCTATGACACCAAGTCCGAAGTCCTGAACGCGATTGGAAACATCGGTTATCTCCAGGGCAACACCCGCACCGGCGCTGCCATCGACTTTGTCCGAATCAGCTCGTTCTCCGTCCCAGCTGGAAACCGAGCTGGTCAACCGGACTACCTGATTGTCGTTACGGACGGTTTGTCTCAGGACGAAGTTCTCGGTCCGGCGCAGACGGCACGATTTGAGGGAATCAATATTTACGCTGTGGGCATCGGGAACGAAATTGACTTTACCACGCTGCTGCACATTGCCGGGTCTCCCAACCGAATTCTGCAGATCGTTGACTTTGATGGGCTGGCTAATGCAACAGGGCAGCTGACTGACATTGTTTGCAACTGTAAGTTAAAAGCTGGTTAAGTTCAAGAGTCTTCTACGGCATTCTTTCTATGCTTTAACAAGTGTTGCTGCCAAACCCCATAAAATGCATCGTGGTATTACAAAAACAATTGTTAGCTGTATACATGAAATTTGTTTGTTAGAAATCTTTTAAGATTTGTTATGAACAGTTTATGTGTACAGTTTACAAGAAAAACATGAAAAATCCCTAAAATCATTTTACTGGAAGCAAGAGGATTTTTCATAACATTTTTGTGCTCATAGAGGTCACAGTGAAATCTGCAACCATGGGTGTTGGAAGCATCACTTTCATTGCTATTTTTGAGAGTTTCTCAACTCCACTTTATGCACTGGAACTTTTATCAATAGATTAGTGTACAAAGCACAGCAGATATATGTATTTCATTATTTTAGTATTAGTTGTATTATTTCTGCACAGTCCTAACATTATGTAAACTCTAAGAAGCACTGCCATTTTACATGTTGTATTAGTTCAAGCTTGTTCATGGTGCAGTATTACTGTAGTTAGTACGAAAATATTCCAGGTACATGTATGATTCTGTCTGCACCTTCAAAAATTCTTTAAGAAATGATTTTAGTTGTTGAATCAGATTATTTTTTAGTCAAAATATTTATTGATAAATATTATATTATTACACGAATTAGCTGCATTTTCATAATATGATATTAGTTGAAAGTTTAGCATCAATACCAATTATTTAAGACTTATTATCTACTAAATTATTTGTGTTAGTCTTTTTTACTTTTAAAATGACCCTTAAAACACATATAATATTATAAATATAATCTTAATATCTATAACTTAATCATTTAATTTCAATATGCTAAAACATTGATGATGAAAATTGTTCAGTATTCTGACCATTTTGACCCGCAATATCCAACGGCATGGGTGGCCCGCTATGCATCCACCCCTTGAACCATTATGGGGGCGAAGCATTTTGAAGGGTTTCGGAATGAATAATATACCATTCCCAGTCTAAAGTGGGCCTTAGTGAACTTTGATAGGCCAGACAGTCAACATTCCAATACTGACTGGACCAATAGTCAGTGCATTCAGTTTGCTAAGCTCAGCACTGTTGCATATGAAAGCGTCACTAAAAAGTGCACTATCACAGCAAAGTACATGTACTACCTGATTGGTAGTCTCCCTACCTCTTATATACCAAGTCCTATTGTCAGCATTACAGTGTATCTTCCTACAGACTGGAACAGTAAGCGTACAGAAACAGTGAAGAAATGGAGGATACTGGAATCTATAGGATTTAAATCAAGGCAGCTAAAAAAACAAAGCAACAAGGAACTGAAAACATCAGGCATACAATATTTTGTAAACATAAACTTGTACCAGAAGTAAAACACAGTCAAAGCTACCCTTGGGTCTGTCATTGTGACCAGAATCATGATAATGATCTCATTTATAGAGAACTGACAGAGAACTTTCTTCTCACTTGAAAAAAAAATGCTTTCAATAATTTAGAATGCATTAGAAGAAGATTATGATCAAGTTTAGGGTATCATTCAGTAGTTGCAGTACAAAGACATTCAAATGTTGCACACTAATATATTATGGAATCATATGACACACTGGCATGGTCTACATAGTGCATGTATGTCAAACTACTTTTGAGCATTGTAACTTTTGACCCCAATAAAATTTTCATTGTAACAATTTGTCTTTTTTTTCTTCATCAGTTAGTGGACTTATGATGGATAGAGATGAATTGAAATTTATCAGCCAGTCTGTCTAGATTTTATTAAAAAGAAAAGTGCAGATGTTTACTTTTAGACTTAGACCCCCCAAATTATTTGAGGACATTTAAGGAAATACCTATTGGAAAGTTCAAAAGTCAATTTTTTGTTTAAGATTAAAAAACAATGGTTGGTAATTATAAAACATGATATAAAAGTAAACTAATAAAAGTAGACAAGGCCTATGAATTTGACTTATGATAATTATATTAAATGCTTGTTTTGTTGAATTTTTAGTGGTATGTTGAATTTTTAGTGGTAAATTTAAGGTCAAACATTAAGTAAACATCATAATTATAGACAGCAAATATCTGTTATTTTTTTCCAAAATAAGATGAATTAGATACAGTTTCCTCCAAATTTTATAACTTTTAAATGATAGGTGTAGACCAGTTCTATATTGTACTTATGATGAAACTAATCAAACTTTTGGAGAAACATGCCGAAGACAGTTTCCCCAGGCCAAACCAATGTAAGGTGTGTTTTTGACCCCTGGAAATGAAAACTTTAAATTATAGTTACAATGATATGATAATACTTAATATATTTAATCATATTTGGTAGACCAAAGGTTATGACACTATATTGCTACTTACATGTAACTCTAAACCGACAAGTATGGTGTCAATAAGTAGAACTTGTATTAATAATAATAATAATATTTTGTATGTGTCCCTCAGTGACATGCTGTGGTGACCCTGGTGCACCTGAGAACGGCTTCCGTCGTGGCAGCTTCTGTCTGGGAGACACGGTGGAGTTTGGCTGCAATGATGGTTACATCCTCCAGGGGGCGTCATCAGCCAGCTGTCAGAGTGATGGCCAATGGGACGATGTCCTGCCCATCTGTATTGGTGAGCTGAATCTTGAACAGTTTCCTGCTGTCTATTTTGATTCTGATTTTTTATTAACCAATTACATATAGCATATGACTATATTATGCTGCTTTCCTAAATACTTCTGCTTACAGACCCCACCAGCATTCCAACGTAGCATGACTAGAATCCTGAAAGTTTTCTATGATCGTTTTGCTTTAAGTTTGCTTCTTGGTGCCTTTAGTGGTATACAGGCTTTTCACATGTGCCATGCTGGATTACAGTGTATGGCATCAATGAAAAACCTCAGATAGTTTAGAATTACTATATTCTGCTGTTCTCCTAAATAACAATATCACAACCCTGCAATCCCTGTTTAGAGATGACAACAACCCCAGTCCCTACTCTGCCAGCTACAACAACCCCTTTAACAACCCAAGGTAACATAATCTAGCTAGAATCCTACAGTTTGTTTGCTATAACTTTGCTCTTTGATGTCCCTAATAGTATAATACATGTAGTTTAGAACTACATTCCTAACTTACATGTACTAACTGCTTTCCTAACTATCATAACTGGGGCTTTAATCCCTATTTAGAGACGACAACAATTCAAGTCCCTACTCTGCCTGCTACCACAACCCCACTAACAACCCAAGGTAATGTTATCTTGAAAACTTTCTTACAGTTTGTTTTGCTTTAACTTTCATGTTTTTTCTGCCCTTTATAGTTTAGTGTAGTAACGTTATAGTTTAGAACTACACTCAGTAACTGTTGCTCCTCTAACTATCACAACCTTGCAATCCCTGTTTAGAGATGACAACAACCCATGTTGCAACCCTGCCTGCTACAATTCCACTAACAACCCAAGGTACAGTGTAACACACTAACATACATGTAGAATGATGTACCGGTATAATGAGTAGTAATACTCTCTTAGTAGTATCACTCTATTAGTTACTGTGTGGTATCCATAAACCCTGTTCTTCAAATGTCCATAAAATTCAGTGACAGCAGGAATAGTTACTGCTTGATTATGATTCTAATCACTAATCAATAGTTGATTTATTTCAGCCATCACTACCCCTGCAGTATTAACCACTGTAGCAGAGACAACAGTATTGGTGTCTACCAGTCCCTTCCCATCAACTACAGGTAATCTTTCAGTCTTCCTATCCACCCATCCGTCCATCCACCCATCCATCCATCCTTCCATCCATCCATCCTTCCATTCATCCATCCATGCATCCATTAATACATGTAGATCCATCCATCCAACCATCATTGAATCACACCTATCTACCCATCCATCCATCCATCCGTCCGTCCATCCATCCATCCATCCATCCATCATTGAATCACACCTATCCACAAGTGCAACATTTATGCTAATACCTATAGTTAAAATGCTTGCCAATTTACTAATTTGTACTATATTGCAATTTCAGCAAGCAGCACAACAACGGCAACAACTATAGACCCATGTAAGTACTAATCATTTGATGACATCAATTATAACTGCTGTTAACATTTTTGTACATTTTTCAAAAAGTGTAATTGCTTGTGATCTTGATATCATGTAAGAAATGATTTTAATGTAACTCTCAACCGATTTCATGTTAACATGATTTGATGGCAACATGCAAGTTGATTGCAATAAATCTGAATCAATTATAATAAGTACATGTATATTGTGCCTGTCCAGTGTGCTCAGGTTTTGCCTTGGACTTGGTCTTCCTTGTGGACGGCTCCAGCAGTGTCGGTAGCGACAACTTTGAAACCATCAAGGTGTTCCTGGAGGCCATCGCCTCAGGATTCGAGGTGTCGTCCACCCAGACCAGAGTGGGCGTGGTCCAGTACAGCACCGGTATCAACACGGAGTTCGACCTGAACAGCTTCGCGACTGAGGCCGAGGTCATCAACGCAATCCGCGGTCTCAGTCACCAGCGAGGGTCGACATTCACCGGGGCAGGCATCACCTTTACCAGGCTGGAATCTTTCACAGGTAAGGCCATGCCAATGTAATTTGTTGGATGTCGGAGTTTTTTCAGAAAAAAAAATGAAGCCACAGGGTGAAAATTGATTATAGAAACAGGCTTAGGCATCCTACACAGTATGATTGAAGTAGTATGAAGAAGTATTACGGTAATAACAGGTCAAACCATGCCAATGGTCTCACTTTTGGGCCATAATTTAAAAATATACATTCTTCCGTCCTCCTTACCAAAAAACTAGGCCTTTCTGAGCAAAATTTGCCCATGAAAAAATTATTAAAAGAATAATGCGCCTTTTCTGCGCATGGCGAATGACTGGCTCCTCCCCTGGATGTCTAACTTTCATCAATGGAAGTTTTAACATTCTTATTTTATGTTTGTTTTTTCACAGGTGCCAGTGGTGACCGCCCTGAGGCGCCCAATGTTCTGATCGTCATCACCGATGGGATATCAGCTGATTCAGTGGACGCCCCGGCCGAGGCGGCCCGCGCTGACAACATCACCACCTACTCCATCGGCATCGGGGACGAAATCAACTACCTGACACTTCTCTCCATCGCCGGCGTACGGGAACGGGTTCTGAACGTCACCACGTTTGGCGAACTGAACGACCTGGACGAGGTTTTGCTGCAGATCCTCTGTGAACGTAAGTGATCCTTTTACACAGGTTAGCTTGTAAAGTTGAATACTAAGAATACATTGTACATTCTTTGATTTGATATGGACAAGATGTTGATCCAGATCCTCTGTGAACTTAAGTGATCCCTTCACAAAGCCATCTTTGTAAAGTGGAAAAACATTCTTTGATTTGATCTGGATGAGATTTTGATCCAGATCCTCTGTGAATGTAAGTGATCCCTTCACCCAGTAAACCTTGTTGAAATACGTTCTTTTATTTGATTTGTGTTGACCAATACAATTTTCTATATTTTATAATTAAATGAATATATTGATGTAACTTTGTTTCTTTTCCAGGACCAACAACCACACCAGAACCCACAACCACACCGCTGCCAACAACAGAAGTTATCACCACGGAAGAACCTACAACTATTCTTCTTACTACAGGTAAAAAGTCAACTCTATATATTACAAAGTCTCTTCATATGTATAAGTATGGATCACCTTTATCTTTCATCTCAATCTCTCTCATTATAGTAATACAGATATTTTGAGTATATCCTTCTGTACTTATGTGTGGAAAGCAAGATTTCAACAACAGCACAGATTTCAGCACCCTTGTCAGATACTCTTTGACTTGACTGCAGGAACATCTGTCACTGTTATCACTTGATAGCTTTTAAGTATGTGTGAAAACTGTAATGATAACAATCTTGTGAGGTCGTGTGGCAAAACGGCTCGACTCGGAACCAAGGTCCCTGGTTCGAGTCCTGTCATGCCCTGTCCTGTACTGTAATACCAGCAACAGCTTCTTGTGTCCCACGTGTATTGTATTGTTACAATTTCAATAAATCAAAACAAATGTTTTGTGTCCTCCGCAGTTTTGCCATGTGAGCGTCTGGAGGTGGATGTTGTGTTCCTGATCGATGGCTCCAGCAGTATCTCTCTCCCCAACTTTGACCTCCTCAAGACCTTCCTCCAGAACATCACCGGGAAGTTTGACGTGTCATCGGACATCACTAGGATCGGCGTCGTACAGTACAGCACAGAAGTCAACACCGAATTTGAACTGATAACCTACACAAATGAGTCTGAGGTCATCAATGCCATTGGCAACATCACGCGCCAGCGGGGGTCCACTTTCATTGGTGCTGGAATCAACTTTGTCAGGACAAATTCCTTTACAGGTAACTGGTGGTTAAATGAATATTACTACTGGTTTCATTTCTCCTTTTGTTTCATGTATTATAGAAAACCTTATTGACAGAAGTATGGGAACTCTCATGTTCTACAGCTACATGTACACACAGATATTTGAAACCATCAAAGAGGAATGGTTTCATAACACTGTACACTGACAGGGCAAAGTATCTATTGAAATGATATAATACTAGAATCACATAGAGGCTCTTTTACTTCAAAGATACCTCTCATTCCAGGGCATTTTTGCTCCTGTGACCGACTCCAGTTTTGTCTTCAAAGATACCAAAACACTTCTTCTGCATATACTAGATGCTTCCCCAGGCATATCTAATCATCTGTGCCATGTTTTTCTCCAGTTTCTGCGGGTGACCGTCCTCTTGCACCCAACATCCTGGTCACCGTAACAGACGGGATCTCCGCGGACGATGTTGCCGGCCCTGCCCAGGCCGCTCGTGACCAGGGCATCCTGACGTACTCCATCGGGATCGGAGAGGAGATCCAGTGGCCCACACTGCTGTCCATCGCAGGGGCCAGGCACAGGGTCTTTAACGTTACCTCCTTCAGTGATCTTCCTGGCATTGAGGACAGCTTTACAGCTCTTTTGTGTGAAGGTAAATTATGTTAAAGGCACCCAATGTAATTTTAGGGTAGCCAGAGAAAAAATATTCTGGATGAGGAAATCTGTCTGATTATCATGAAAGTTTGCCTCATTTCTGGTGAAGGCGACAGTGGTTGTTGAAAATTTGATCTCTGTGTAATCCTTGTATTGGAATGAAGTTCAACATTTTACTAAAATATACTATGTCATTTACTGCTATTTCTTATAGCACATTTGTGTCATCATTTCACATTTAAAGTGTTTGAGTGTCATGTGATATATGATAAATGATACACCCCTAAGTAAAAAAGCTTGTACTCAACATATTTCATAAATTCTATATGTATTGTGTTATCTGCAGTGACCCCAGTTACACCTGGCCCAACTACTACAGGTTTGTTACATAGCTTCAATCAATCTCTCCTTCTTATGCTAAAAGTGTTCTTTTCTGTCCTGACAACTGAACAATAGCTACGTAGCTACTTAAAATCAACTGAAAAAGATGCCAATTGTAATACTTTGTTCAGTATCAATATCTATCCAACAAAACCATCCGGTCGATTATCAAGAAAACGTAGTTTCTTGTGCAAAGTACAGTTATTTTTGACTAGAAACTCACATTTCTTAATTTTTTAGTCATTTGACTCCTTATATAATAGCACGTTTTACGATGCAACTTCCCCAAGACATACATGTAGGTTTCATTTCACCTTTAAGTTACATGATCTTGATCTAGAAACATGGTTCTGTTTTTTCAGTCCTGCCCACCACACCGTTCTTCCCCCTGTGTAACAACCTGCCGTACCCCGGGGCTGACCTGGTGTTCCTGCTGGACGGATCTGCCAGCATCACGTCACCAAACTTTGAACTGGTCAAGGACTTTGCCGAAAGGGTGTCCAGACATTTCACTATCTCTTCAAGTATGTCAACATTTGCATGTTGTTTGAAACAATCACAACCAAGCACAACATCAACAATTACAGATAAGAGTCCAAACGTAATCTATGAGAATGTTGCAGCTCTGAGAAAAAATAAGAACATGTATAGTGGGTGTCTTTGGCATCATTCAGGTATATGGTGTCCACCTACCACTTTTATTCTTGCTAGACTTGTTCTCATTGTAGAAGAGTTGAGAAACTTTGACTAAGAGGCAGTACTTGTGTTTATCGATTTCCGCAAGGCTTTCGATTCGATTAACCGCCACAAAATGTTTCATATCTTGGAAGCGTATGGGATTCCGCTGGATGTCGTCAGCGCTATTCGAGTCATGTACGAGGACACCAGTGCTGTGGTTATTACTCCTGAGGGAGAAACCGATGCATTTAGCATTAACACTGGAGTCCTGCAGGGCGATCCTTTGGCCCCTTTCCTTTTTGTTATTTGCCTCGACTATGCGCTCCGGTCTTCGATTTCAGAATCAGACGGGCTTACTCTCCGTCGTCGTCGGAGCCGACGATACCCAGCTGAAACCCTCCCAGACCTTGATTTTGCTGATGATATTGCTTTAATGGAAAACTCAATAAAATATGCACAAAATCTTCTCACAAAAGTTGAAACTTTATGTCAAAAAATAGGTTTATACTTGAATGCTTCCAAGACAAAATTCATGCATCTAAACCCTACTACTGACAGTTTACTTTTTGCCACTGATGGCACTGAAATCGAATGTGTTGCGGATTTCAAATACTTAGGGGGGTACTCTGATAGTGTTCATGACATGGATGTGCGGATCGCACAGGCATGGAGTGCTCTTCACTCACTACATAAGATTTGGAAAGCGCCCATTAGAAAACAAACTAAGATCAAAGTGTTTAAGGCATGTATTGAAACAATTCTTTTGTATGGGTCAGAATCATGGGTCATGAATATGTCACATTCTAGAAAACTAAACGGAACATACACGAAGATGTTGCGAGTGGTTTTCAATACACCATGGTGGAAACACACTACTAATGAACAGTTATACGGTTCGCTACCAAATGTAACTTCAGTAGTCAAATGTCGACGTCTAAGCTTGGCCGGTCATGTAATACGTAGTGAAGAACCAGCCAGTAGGCTTCTACTCTGGAACCCTGATACCTGTAAGAGAAGAGTTGGACGCCCAAACATAACAGTTAAGAAACTTATTGAAACTGAAACTGGCTTGGAGGGACATGAACTTTTCTCAGTGATGTATGACAGACAGTTGTGGCGAACTAACTTTGTATGCTCCACCTCTACGGAGGATGAATGATGATGATGATGATGACTTGTTCTCATTTTTCAGTATTCCAATAGATGAAAGTGACAGTTTATGTAAATAAATGGAATATTGATGGCTGATGCACAATTTTCTTTTTTCCTTAAACCTTGCCCTCTTGATCACTGTTGCATGATCTGTTTTAACGGGGCTGACTGAGGTTTTAATCACTTCATCTTGTTTTTAGTATTACCCTAAGTCAATAATGATGATGTTAACCACCTCATTCCTTTTCCAGTGGCCACAAATGTCGGAGCTGTCCAGTACAGTGACACCGTGCGTAGTGAGTTCTTCCTCAGCAGTTTTGACACCAGTTTTGAGGTGGTCACAGCCCTGGACAGCATCAGCTACCTCCGAGGGGGGACCTTTACTGGCTTTGCCCTCGACTTTGTCCAGCAGAGCGCGTTCTCTCCGGTGGCGGGCGCGCGCGATGGGTACCCAGACATCCTCATCGTGGTGACTGACGGGGTGTCCCAGGATGACGTGGTTGCACCGGCAGAGTCAGCGAGGAAGGAGGGGATCGCAGTTTTCGCTGTCGGCATCGGGAGTGGTGTAGATTACGCCACACTGCTGAAGATTGCAGGGATCGACGATCGCATTCTGCAGATCAATAATTTCAACGACTTAGCTTTGGCTTCTCAAACTCTACCGGACTATGTCTGCAACTGTAAGTTGGCATGATTATATTTCAATACCTTTTTAATGTATACCAATTCAAGCCCTTTGTGTACTTATTCACATATGTCCATACAATGTTAACTGCTTACATGTACATGGCATTGTATTTACCAAAGTCTTTCACCATCTGCTAGTTAAAATAAGATGATCAACCTATTGCTTGGAGTAATACATGTTAAAATGTAATTGGTTATGGTATATCTTTTCTACATAGTACTTGTACTTGAAAAGCAAGTATTGACAATATCTAAACATTGTTGGCTAGCATTGTGGTCATTTGCAAAGCTAAAATAAAGTCAGTAAGTTTATGAGTTTCTAAACCAAAATAAAATCATGCAGTACTGAAAATTGCTGATCTACAATGTAAACCAGTGATATTGAATGTGAAACTTTCTTCTGTAGTGGCGTGGTGTGGTGACCCTGGTACTCCTACAAACGGCTACACGAGGGGAAGCTTCCTTCAGGGCAGTGTTGTCCTGTTTGGCTGTGACGATGGCTACGATCTGATTGGCTCAGGCAACAGCACATGTCTGGCTAATGGGCAATGGAGCGACCCACTGCCAACCTGTAGAGGTGAGATTTGGTGCCTCTGGTGTGCATTTGTCAACTAAGATTGTACTTTATTTCACAGGGTTTAACTACATTTAACAATATGGTCTCTAACTGTTATTTTATTATGTTCATTTGTACCTACAGTTTCTCTATCCTTTTGCCAAAGCTACTTATTAAAGATTTTCAGATGTAATATACTAATCTTAATACTAGACTGACACTGACAATAGCAATCTTGTGTGATTATTGACAAATATTTCTCACTGGACCTTCCCTAACAAACATTTTCTCATAAGTTTCGATATTTATCATCATTAGTCTGTTTCTGACGTAATTAGCCTTAATTATTTTTCTCTTTTACTCTTTAATCCTGTACAGCAATAGTTACAACTCCACTTCCAGGTATGTAGAATACATGTACATGTAACTGCTGTTACTGTAATAAAACGCTTCCCTCAATACGTAACACTAACAGCTTGGATGTTGTATGGTTATTTGCAAATACCACTTGCTACACATGAGAAACACTGCACTGTGCACATTGTGTGATGTTTGACATTGTTTTTTTTCTATTATCAGACTGTCTAACCTACATGTAGTACTAGTCCTTGCAGGACTTTAGCTCAGTATTTATATAAGATAAGACTAAAGCTTGTATTAAAATCGGAATATCAGAATGAAGACAATGTTTTTTTTTTCACATTTCAGACTGTTGTGATATCACAGTGTGCTACAATGGAGGTATCTGTGACAACAGTAATGGTGTGTGCAGCTGTGTGTGTCCTGCTGGCTACCAGGGACCACAGTGCCAGTATTGTAAGATGTTACCCTTCTACGTTACTTTAAAACCCTCTTACAATCATAATACTTTCAATTATAATACTGTAGAGTTACAAATTTTAAGAGTTCTCATCATTAGTTTGTTTTCTGACGTGTGATAAGTCTAAATCATTTTTCTCTTTTACTGCTTAACCGTGTACAGCAATAATTACAACTCCACCTCCAGGTATGTAGAATAACTGCTGTCAGTGATCAAAAGCTTCTCTCGATATTTAATACTAACAGCTATGATGATTTACAAACACCACTTGCACTGCTCTGTAATGTACATGTAAGACTCTCACAATACAATATAGTTGAAATTCACAATGTAGTTTTATGATATGTTTTTCCTCAAAAAAGTCCTTGAAGAATTCTGGTTAATTTTTTTAATAGGAATTTCTAACGTACACTAGGCCATACAGCATAATACAAAGTAAACATTTTTACAGCACAGTAACAGTTTTAGGTTTGATAAGATATTGATACACTTCAACCACTTTAATAACCAATTGAAAGGGAATGTCTTTTGTACCTGAGTTTTTGTCACTATTATTTTGGTACTGTTACTTTACTTGTAACCTTTTATGTTTTAAATGATCATCTGCAGGCATCAGGAACTGATTGGAAATGTCATAAAAGTTTGGTAGACAATTTTTTTGTTCAATCTCCACAATGTAGACGCAAGTTGTCAGGGCCGTGATGTTCCTTTGGACATTGTGTTCCTGTTGGACGGGTCCGGCAGTGTTGGGGTCGACAACTTTGACCTCATGAAGGATTTCACCAGGACGCTCGCCCGTAACTTTGACATCGCTGCCAACATGACTCAGGTCGGAGTGGTGCAGTACAGCAGTAGTGTCAACAGGGAGTTTGGCCTGGGGGACTTCCACACCAGGTAAGGTTTAGTGATCATAAGGTTTAGGGCAGACACTGATCATGATATAACTAATACCATAAAAGTTCAATGTAAGATCATTTTGTCCTTAGTATTCATGATACTGTTCATGATATTTATCTACTAGTATCTGACAAGTACATTGTAATACATGGAATGTAATGCCATATTGTACAGTTTTGTGTGTAGCATTCAAAATAATATCACTGTAACAGTAGAGATTTTCAGTAAGACGTGCATGAAAAAGAAGAACATTAAACAACAGTAACATTACACATATTTGTCTGTGGGACTAGAAGAGAGTCTAACAAATCAGTATGGGTAAGGGTTGAAGTCCGCAATCTCTGCTTTTTTTGTTTGAACCCCAGGCCAGATGTTCTGAATGCTATCAGCGCCATCAGCTATCAGCGAGGTAGCACCCTCACCGGAGCCGCCATCGACTTTGTTCGACAGACATCCTTCAGCCCAGGTGACGGCGACCGACCAGACATCCCGAATATGCTAATTGTCCTCACTGATGGGGTTTCCAGTGACAACGTGCAAGGGCCAGCAGATGCAGCCAGGAGGGAGGGCATCACGACGTTTGGCGTGGGAATAGGGAGCGGAATCGACTTCGCAACCCTGTTAGAGATTGCTGGAAACTCTGACCGGATTTTGCAGGCTGCTGACTTTGGTGCACTTGCTGACGTTGCTCAGACATTACAGGAAGTTGTTTGTGACTGTGAGTACTTTAATTATGTTGTGGTTTTCCTCACAGGATGTGTGTGCATAAACTTTCTTTAGGCATACACTTATAAAATGTTACATGACATAATTGTTTGCATTTCTTGCATTTCTTGCATTCATTGCAATTCTTATGATTTCAAAGCCCTTGTCAAGGTATATATGAAGGGTTCGTAGCTGTTAAACAGTCATATTCAGTTTAAATCATTTTTCCTTTTGCTTCTTAATCTTGCGTAGCAATAATTGGAACTCTGTCTCCAGGTAAGTATTACTAAAAGAAATAATCACTGCAATCACAAGCTTGCCTCAATATCTCTGCTCAATAACTATTGTAATAGTACATGTACATGCTGTCATGATGCTTAATATCACTTGCACTTTTCTTTTGCACAGTACGAGGCTGACACACACACACACACACACAGAGAATATCATTTGCTGCTCACAACAAACACTGCACTGTATTACTGTATTACATGACACTGTATTAAGGGTTCATAACTGTTATGTTTTTGCAAACTACTTATAAATCACAAGTTCCAGTTTGAATTTGAAGTCTGCTTTCTTGGTAATGTTTTGCATACATGTGTATCTTTCTATAGTGCAATACTGTGGTGACCCTGGTGCTCCTGTGAATGGATGGAGATATGGAAACTTCTTTGAAGGTGGTAACGTGGAATGGGGCTGTAACGCAGGGTACTACCTGTCTGGGAGTGTTGGTGCCACCTGTGTCAATGGCACCTGGGACAACAGTGTACCTATGTGCATAGGTAGGTTTGTTTCTTTACAAACAAAATTTATAATGTAAAGATTAAATCAGCAACTAAAAGTTTTTTTTAAATGATAAACACTCAGTTATTGACCGGGTTTATGTTATTAAGGTTTTAGTTACATAATGTACTATAGGCTAATCACACCACCAGTGGGGTAATGTAGAAGTGGCCACTGCAAGGGTTACCGGGCCCTTCAGATAGACTTGTATGTTGACACATTGATTTTTTTTACTTTAACTTTAAGAAATTAACTTTAAGAAATATTGTTTGAAGTGTGGAGTAACTCCATTTAATAATGAATGTTAGATTTAAGTGAAGAAAGCTATTCTTTCACTAACAATTCATTCCATCAAATTTCAGAGATCACAACTACCCCACCCCCAACCACCCCTCGTGCCCCTGGTAAGTATATCATAATGTGCATCTACTAATTCAAATGTATTTAAGGTAGAGGGTTGTTTGATATGCAATGTTCACCTTTTATAAATTTTAATCATGGTAAAACTTTTGTTCGGACACAAAGAGGTTCTCACCTAGAGTTTTTGACCAGTCACTCTGGTCTTCCTCAGTGAGACTTGTCATGTGGCTTCTCTGAAGTGTGACATCAACACCGTGTCAAACCTTTTACAACAAAATGTATAATACTAACGCTGGCATAATGTTTTGTTGTCAATCAATATTCTTACTAACTTAAAATCTTACATGTGAGTTTGATTCAACTTTACAGTGTGTGCCAACTTCCCATATGGCGGGCTTGACTTGGTCTTCCTTCTTGACGGCTCTGGGAGTGTTGGGACCACCAACTTTGAGCTGGTGAAGGACTTCACCGCCGAGGTCGTCCTCAACTTCAACATTTCTTCTGACACCACCAACGTGGGCGTTGTGCAGTACAGTGACACCGTACGCAACGAGTTCTTCCTCAGCAGCTACGACACAAAACTCCCGCTCATCGATGCGATCAACCAAATCAACTACCTCACCGGCGGCACGCTGACCGGGTTTGCCATAGACTATGTCCGTCAGAGCAGTTTCTCACTCCCTGCTGGTGCACGCCCCACGTTCCCGGACGTCCTTGTCGTGCTAACGGATGGTTTGTCGCAAGACAACGTCGTCAGCTCAGCGGCGGCTGCAAGGAGCCAGGGTATCACCATCTTTGCCGTTGGTGTTGGAAGCGAGGTAGACTTCACCACACTTCTGCAGATCTCTGGATACCCGTCGAGGATTCTCCAGGTCCAGGACTTTGCAACTTTGGTCACGGAGGGACGCAGGCTGCCGGAGATCATCTGCCAATGTAAGCTATATTCCCAACAGCCATGTGTTGATTGCATGATTTGAAGACACATGCAAAGTATCGGTAGGCAAATCACCCAACTATCACCCACTTTTTCCTACCACTCTCTGGCTGTGACATCATGGTGTATACCCCTTGCTCAAATGCTGCTTATGCTTTTCAGACAAGATGTTAAGATGTTACCATTTCTGTTTTTAATTTCATTTTGAATAATAATGATTATGTAATAACTGTTTCTTACAATACCAAATATCACACGTTTTATGTGAAACTATGTGTACTGCATATAGCCCTCATGGGCAAGAACATACAAATAAAGATCATTCATCCGTGAATGATATTCTCAAATCTTGTTGTACAGCGACCTATTGTGGTGACCCCGGCACACCAGTGAACGGGTACCGCCGTGGTGGGTTCTTTAGCGACAGTGTGGTGACGTTCGGCTGTAATGACGGCTACATCCTGATCGGAGAGGACACAACGACCTGCCTGGGTGATGGTCAGTGGAGTAATGCAGTTCCTGTCTGCCAGGGTAAGGAACTATATAATATTATACGGAATTCTTGTTTTATTAGTACTTTTACTTCAAAAGAGATGTCTCGGTCAACGTAAAGGTTTTCATATTAATCTGAATATGTCTGCATGTATACTGTATTTACATGTAGACTCATATATTACTCTTATCAATGTGATAGCAGCCTTGTGTGATGATTGGTATTATTTCTCTCTGAATCTTCACTAACAAATATGATCAGAATTTTAGATTTCATATCCTTGGAATGTCTGTTTCTTGACATAAATGTAATATTAACTTAGTCATATCTAGTCTAAATCATTTTCCCTTTTGCTTCTTAATCCTGTGTAGCAATTTTTGGAACTCTGTCCCCAGGTATGTGTTTCCTAAAAAAATAATCACTGCAATCACAAGCTTGCCTCAATATCTCTTATGCTGATAGCTATTAGTATATGCAGTCATGATGCTTCATATTATTTGCACTTTTCTTTTGCACAGTACTAGGCTGACAGAGAGAGAGAGGGAGAATATCATTTGCTGCTTATAATAAACACTGCACTGTGCATGAATGCTTTCTTCTTTGTTTAACAGCAATTATGCATGGTGTGAGAAGCAATGGTGTAAGAAGCAATGGTGTAAGAAGCAATTGTGTGCACAGCTGTAAGGTGTCAGCTATGGTGTGTGCAGCACTAGCTATGTGCAGCTATGGTGTGTACTGCAATGGAGTATGCAGCTATGGTGTTTGCAGCAATAGCATGTACAGCAACAGTTGTGCACAGAAACGGTAGCTATGGTGTGTGCATCTACAAGGTATGGTGTGTGCTGCTGTATGGATGTGACATTGCCTCTGATGTTGTTCCTGTGTACACAGATGTGTGTGAGCCCTCCCCCTGTCTGAATGGTGGAACGTGCCAGCCCACGGGAACCACCAGCAGGTGTCTGTGTCCTGACAGGTACAGCGGACAGTTCTGCCAGTACTGTAAGTATCACTGTCATCATTGTTTCCTTAGACAGTCAGAAAATATAGTAGACAAAACATGCTGGTCATGATAACATCTTCCAATGTCTGTTAGGACAGTTGTGCACTTATTACATCTAACTTTGTGTTGATAAAAATGAACTGCACCAAGAAGATATTATGTACTGTAATACTTATACCAGACTTATTTTGTTTGCTGTAAGTGTAAATTGTGCTCTCATGATTTTTTTAATGTGTACGGTTGTGGGCATTATGAACAAGTATAGTGAAAATGTTTGATATATTTTACCATCAATTAAGAAAAACATTGTCAATGTCTTGGCACTGCCTGAATGCCATCTATACCAAGATACATTGTACTTTCAATTGATAACATGGTTACAAGATGCAAAATCTAGGCTGAAACATACATGTAGCTTGGATAGATGTTGTCAGTCCCTGTTAGGTATGTAGTTGTTTCACAAGTTAATACTAGTTTAATATAATCATCATCTATCCACAGACACCCCCTGCCTGAACCACACCATTGCCCTGGACCTAATCTTCCTGCTTGACGGCTCCGGAAGCATCACGGCCCCCAACTTTGAACTGGTGAAATCCTTCACCTACAGTGTCTCTCGCAACTTTGACATCTCTCCTAACAGAACCAGAATTGCTGTTGCTCAGTACAGTGACACCAACAGCCTAGAATTCAACTTGAATCGGTATTCTAGAAAGGATGAGGTACTGGATGCCATTAACGGCATAAGCTATCAAGGCGGCGGCACATATACAGGATCAGCCTTAGATTTCGTACGCCAAAACATGTTGGTAGAATCTGCCGGAGATCGTGCCATGTCGCCCAATGTTCTAATTGTGGCGACGGATGGCGAGTCATCTGATGACCAGAGGACGCCAGCGGAGGTGCTGCGTAACGCGGGCACACTTGTCTACGCTGTCGGTATCGGCACAGGCGTGAGCGCCACTACTCTACTGGACATCTCGGGAGACAGCTCCAGGGTCCTACAGGCCACGGACTTCGCTTCCCTTGATGCCATTGGTCGTGAGCTTCAAGAGTTCATCTGTGATGGTAAGAAACATTGTTTTTGCTGTTAAGTCTGACATAATGTAGTGCTATGTTCAAGCATAGCATGATATTACAATGACAATGGAATAGCTAGAGGAAAAATCTAACAGCCCAAGTTTCAGCACCATGGACAGGAAAATAACTACCTACCTCCTTTCTTTTTCAAATAATTGTGTTGCTGTTTATCTTCAATCATTTTCTTTCTCTGTGTTTAATAATTTAGCTTCATTTACTGCTGACATCTATCTGTATCATTCATTATGATGGATTAAGCATACAAGCATGTATATGTAAAACATTCCTTTTTGTGACAGCTCTTTGTGACACTCAACATGTTTAAGGCATTGCAATCCTTCCTATACTTCACTCACAGCTGCCTACTGTGGTGATCCTGGTACACCTGAGTCCGGCTCCAGGTTTGGGAACTTCTTTGAAGGCAGTGTCGTGACCTTCCAGTGTGACCCCACCTACACCCTTCTCGGGTCAACCACTACGACCTGTTTTGGAAACGGCATCTGGTCAGACCCAGTCCCCATCTGTGTTGGTAAGTATGCCCTTTTTCATTCCAGTAGGTCATAACAAGCACAATGACACCATGTGGATATGTAGATAGATTACAACAGTCATTTTCAACTACAAACAACTACCAAAAGACACCAAGATTCTGAAAAAACGTTTCCAAATAGGTTACAGGTAAAGGTAGTCTACCTGTAACCAAAGGTCAGCAAGCTGGTTGTTGATCCACTGTGTCTGGGGCACGGTATTGGAAGGTGGAGCCCATCCCTCTTCTTCTACTGCCTTACATCCCCAACTGAAGTCAGAACATAAAAGTACCATAAAATTCAGGAAAGGGAAGTGATTAGGAATCTGTCTTCTCTGTCACGGCCAGTAGAAGAGTAGCTCTCTTTATTTCATTTCTGATCAGTGAGCTAAACTGGTTCAAAATCATTTTCTTTCTTTCACAAATCAGTTCACAGTTACAAATTCTGATGTATTTTCAGCACCAGACCCTTGTGCCAACAGTCCGTGTTTGAATGGAGGTACCTGTCAGCGGGTGGGCCTGACCACTGACTACACCTGTCTGTGTCCTGAGGGGTATCATGGTCCAGTCTGTGAGAATTGTAAGTAACTACCCGACAGGTGTGCTTCACTGAGTTAATCACCTAGTTTTTAGAGAGATTTTTAGAAAAAAAATTTGAGGAAGTTGGAAAATCTAATATGCAAATGCATTTAAACATGTAATAGTCATAATATACATATTGATTATACTGTGTCTTGCTTGCTTAAATTTTGAAGCTATGGCCATTTTCCTCCCTCTGTAGATGCTGCCTGTTCGAATCGATCTCTCAACCTGGATGTAGTCTTCCTCCTGGACGGTTCTGGAAGTGTGGGGTCGGCAAACTTTGACCTCCTCAAGGCCTTCACCACTCGCATCGCTGCCAACTTTGACGTGTCATCCAACCTGACGCGTATTGGAGTGGTGCAGTACAGCGACCAGACGAACAACGAGTTTGTGCTTAACACGTTCTCCACTGAGGCTGAGGTGCTGGCAGCGATTGCCGCTATCGGTTACCAGAGTGGGTCAACTTCAACAGGCGCTGCTCTCGACCATGTCAGGCAGAATGTCTTCATCTCGGTAAGGTTTGGTTCACCAGTGAAACACTGCACAGATATATAGTTTACTCTTATACATGTAGTTCTTCACTCAAGCCGTCTATTACCTGTACATAAAAATGTAGGTATTGTTTATGGTTTGTGTGTGTGTGTGTGTGTGTATCCATGTTTACTCATACTTGTGGTAAGCATAACTTATGAAGGCCTTAATGGATTGTGATAATATTTAGTATGGTCCTAGGAAGACAAAGGTCAAGATTAAATTTAGGTCTCATGGTGGATAACCTTGCTACTGCAGCAGAACTTAGCAGGTAAAGCAGGTAAATGGAGAAAGGAACAACAAATTTTCAATGGGAAAACAATGGGAAAATGTGAACAGCAGCCTTTTTGATGTGTACCTCTGTATTTTTTTCTGTCAATCCAGGCCAGCGGTGACCGTGCTGATGCTGCTAACATCCTGATCGTCATGACCGACGGCGTGTCCAGTGATGATGTCAGTGTGCCGGCCATGACAGCCAGGGACGCCGGCATCACCATCTACTCTGTAGGCATCGGAGATGGAGTGGACTATAACACCCTACGGCAGATCGCTGGGGACCCCAACAAGGTACTACAGGCCACTGGATTCAGCAGTCTGAACGAGATTGGAGGCCAGCTGGAGGAGCTCATTTGTGATGGTAAGTTTCTGCAATTTTTTTCTTTTCTGCATATCAATCATTATTGACCTTAAGATATTTTGTTCTAGTGCATGTTTTGGTAAGGTTTATGACAATTTCATATGAAATATATAGGATACAGTGCAAGTATAGTGTGTCAAATTGTATCTTATGTGGAGGCATAGACAATCATCCTATTCTGTCATGATTGCCTCTGTATGTTTCATGTTACATTTTAAAAATAGATAAATTAATAAACTTAGCAGTAAGTATCTTGATAGTTGTGAATTGAAGCTTTATATGTCAAGTTGTTAGCCAAAATGTAACATCAATGTTCCCCTACTTATAATAAGTTAATGTATGGAAACTATTTTTTCTATCTCCAGCTACGTACTGTGGTGATCCCGGTGCACCTGTAAGTGGTTTCCGTAATGGGAACTTCTTTGAGGGAGGAACTGTAACCTGGGGCTGCTACAACGGCTTCAACCTTGTTGGCACCCTGACTGCTGTCTGTTTCGGCAATGGAACTTGGAGTGAACCTGTACCAGAGTGCATGGGTAAGTGTACTTCTACACAAAAGATTGTTCTCACCAAGAGCTTTTGACCAGTCACTCTGATTTTCTCTAGACACCCAGTGATCATGAGACTTGTCACATGGCTTCTCTGAAGTGTGATGTCAACACTGGATCAAATGTATCCATCAAACAATGTCAGCCCCTAGTCTGATGAAACTGTTCACTCTTGATACATATGTACGTTAATTTTTTCAGTGGTGCTGAAGAAGAGTGATAGATGTCACTTGAAACGTCTGGAAGTAATCTCCGAAGTATATCCAGTAGACTAAGTAGAGTTTGATTCGTCTTTGATTATTCACTCTTGTTTCTAACTATTCCACTTTTACTCCAGCCCCAACAACCCCCCCACCCCCAGGCTGTGATGAGCTGAGTTTTGGCGGGTGGGATCTGGTGTTCCTGCTGGATGGCTCAGGCAGCGTGGGTTCTGTCAACTTCATCAACGTCAAAAACTTCACCAAGCTGATCACCGACCTCTTCCCTGTCGGGGAGAATGCCACGAAGGTCGGCTTGGTGCAGTTCAGTGACACCATACAGAAGGAGTTTGATCTGAGGGACTACGAAACGAAGGAGGAGGTTCTGTCAGCCATTGACAATATCTCTTACCTCGGCGGAGGGACTTACACTGGAAATGCCATAGACTATGTCAGACAGGTACGAGGTCTTGTGTTATGAAGTGTTTCCTCCTTTTGATGCATGTTATGACAATGACAATAAACTATGTGGAAAACTTTTGTAGGTTTGTAACGGTTACCTTAAAATGTCTAAAAAGTTTATTCTTGTACAGCACTTGAACTTATTAGAAAGTAGAGTTTTGATTCATTTGAGAGTGCTACTGGTAATTCAAGAGTAGAATGTGTCTTTGCTCTACACATTATTATTGTGATGCAAAAAGTGCCTTAAAGTTTTTAAAAGGCTTTTATTCATTACCTGTAACAGTATTTCAATGGACAGCAGGCAAATGTACACGGACAACACACTTTTAATACATTCACCAAACTGATGTTCAAGACAGTAAAGCATCTCCTACACCTAGAAATAGCTTCTTATCCAATTTACAATTGTTTTGAATAACCTACTCTGTGTTTTATCATCAGGTCAGCTTCAATACTATTAACGGTAACCGTGGAGGCCGCCCCGACACGCTGATCGTTCTCACGGACGGAGAGTCATTTGACCCCGTGACCTTCGCGTCCCAGTCCGCCCGTGACCAGGGCATCACCATCTTCGCCATCGGCGTCGGCAGCGGGGTGGATTACGCCACGCTGGAGGAGATCGCAGGAGATCCTCAGAAGGTCCAGCAGGTCACAGACTTCGCCGACCTGACGTCCGTCAATGTCATCAACTACCTGGAGGAGTGGCTCTGCAGAGGTAAGGTCAAATTTCATGATGATTGTCTGTTTCAATTGTCCAAGTTGATGTTTCAAAAATCTTTGGATGTGAAACAAACATTTAACATACTGATCTTAATTTTATTTCAAGTAAATCTAGAAAAGTGCTGTCAAATTTTATATCTGTTTGAAGATCTTTTTTTTTTATAAATGATTTTTTTCAAAGCCCTTGAATGCATACCAAACATTATACTGATCTTGATTTGATTTCCAGTGTATCAGATTATGAGCCATGGTCAATGGATTTTCCTTTTTGCTATAAGAATATTCAGATTCAAAATGATAAATTTTGGATTAAGTTTAAGTCTCCTCCAACTGGGCTAGCATTTGGGTTTTTAAAGACTAATTTTATACACAGAGTTATACTGCTGAAATTTTAACTTCTAATGCTTTTAGTGTACTTTTCTTTTGTGCAACAATACATATTTATTATTATGTCCTTTTGACTCACTGACAGACTATATATCTCACAAACAAAGGTGCATACTGTGGAGACCCAGGAGTGCCAGAGAACGGTGTGCGTCGTGGGACATACTTCCAGGGAGGACAGGTGGACTTCGGTTGTGATGATGGCTACACGCTGTCTGGTTCATCCTCCATCACCTGTCAGCCCGACGGACAGTGGACCAACGTTGTTCCCACCTGTTTGTGTAAGCTGGGTTTTGTCTTTTCAATTACTTTTATTAAACAAGCATAGAAAGTGCAGCTACATGTACTGTTTCTCTATCTTTGGGAAATAAACCTACTGTAACAGTTTACATGTACCCCGGGTAGGCTGCAGGAGCCAGTACAGACATTACAAAACTACAAGATGCTGTCACACAGATGCAATGTCAGTCAGAACTTTGGTAATGTTAAAGATGTTCTTCTTTCCTGTGTAGTTATCGACAACTGTGACCCCAACCCGTGCCTGAACGGAGCTCAGTGTTTCCAGACGGCTGATTCCTACCGCTGCACCTGTGCAGCAGGCTACGAGGGAACCAACTGTGAGATCTGTAAGTCCTTCTGGAACTCAGTTCAACATTTCTATAATAATTATTGTAACTAGCTATCTGAGTTACATGTATTCTCTATTCTATGGTAGTAATGATTTAGGATAAAACTTCTTAGAATATTAAGAACACTCAGCTCTTAAATGTAATGATAATCCAAGAAAATTCCAAGAAAATATGAAAATACATCCCATTGTCATAATGACTAAGTCTTACACATGTACATTCTCCCTGTCCCAGACACTGCCTGCACCACTAAAGCCTACGAGATTGACCTGGTCTTCCTACTGGACGGCTCTGGCAGTGTCGGATCTTCAGACTTCGACCTGATGAAATCTTTCACCAACCGGATGATAACCAACTTCGACGCGTCACCCACGAGCACCAGGGTTGGTGTTGTCCAGTACAGCAGCCAAGGTTCTGCAGCCACGGAATTCCGGCTTAATTCTTACAACAATAAGAATGACGTCATCGCAGCTGTCAATGCAATTGTCTACCAAAATGGCAACACCTTCACTGGCGAAGCGCTCAACTACGTACGACAGAATTCCTTTTCCGTGGCAAACGGTGGCCGTGCGGATGCGGCGAACATCCTCGTTGTCATCACTGATGGTGAGTCAGTTGACGGTGTCACCGGCCCAGCGACAGACTTGCTGAGAGAGGGAGTCACGGTGTATGCCGTCGGCATCGGCAGTGGCATTCAGACCAGCACCCTGGTGGCCATCGCACAGGATCAGAGTCGAGTACTCCAGGCAAACAGCTTCACCAACCTGACCAACTCTGCCCAAGCTCTGCAGGAGTCACTCTGTGATGGTAAATAAGATGTCTCATTATCTCATCTATCTCTTAGTATAATTGTTTGACCATTGGGGTACCACATATGATCTGACAACTAGGTTTCTCTACCCTTCTCAGTTTTCTGTTCCTCTCAAAGTTTTACAGTGTCACGTTGGTCCATTTTCTTATATGTATGCATAATATTTTTAGACTGTCGTATGAATCCTACCTCTATTTTGTTACAAAATATAATTAACAATCTGTGTGTAAGTCTTGTGCATTACAAAATTTATTTCAGTTAAACTGCATTTTCAAAATAATGCAGAACATGATAATGATGGTAAATATATTTTTGGTTTACATGTAGCTTAATGTTGAGCTCATGTGTAATAATGTTATTGTGTTATTGCACTTCTTGTATTGTTTGTGTTCCCAGCTAAGTACTGTGGCAGTCCAGGCACCCCTCAGGATGGTTACACCTATGGCCTGCTGTTCGAGGGCTCAACTGTGACCTACAGCTGTGAGGTGGGCTTTACCCTCAATGGGGCCTCGTCTGCACAATGCATCAACGGAACCTGGGACAACAGCCCGCCTTCTTGTATACGTGCGTTTGGGTTTGAGTTTATTGGGATCTGCAATCAGCATACATGTATACATACATTGTTTGTACATTGTAGTATCTATTCTTCCTGTGGTCCTACATTTACATGTATACAGACTATATGCTTTCCAAGTTCTGAGTACATCATAAAAGACTCATGACTAGTGGAAGACATCTACTAGTGATTTTATTCTCTTTAAATGTAATGTTAAGTTTCCTTTTAGTAAACAAGTCCATCTGTCAACTTGAAAGATGCTTGCAGCCAATATCAGAGATCACTATTCACTTTTGCTACTAGAGATTGCAAGATTGTAGCTTTATTTTCACTACATGTATTGCTTAATCAAGTTGACTTGAATGTAAATGCATGATAATCTGTTACCTTCCAGCTCCAGACCCCTGTTTGGCCGACCCATGTTACAACGGTGGGACCTGTGTCCGTACTGGACTAACAACAGACTTCACCTGTACATGTCCGAGTGATTACACTGGCGACACATGTCAATCATGTAAGTTGACATGAAGAGTTTACTCAATAAACATTATCTGCTTTTATTGTAACTTTGTAATTGTGCAGATTTGTATTTTTTTCCTACTTTTCAAGCTATGGGACAGAGAGAGTGAATGAGTGAGGAAGTCAAAGATTGATACTAGTGATACATAATATTTTTCAGATACGGCCTGCCAAGGGAGGAGTTTAGATTTTGACCTGGCCCTGCTACTGGACGGTTCAGGGAGTGTTGGAGCCGACAACTTCAATCTGGTGAAGCAGTTTGCCAAGCGCTTAGTGGACAACTTTGACATCTCCCAGACAGATACCAAGGTTGGGGTAGTACAGTATAGCAGCTCCAGCAATGTGGAATTCTACCTGAACGCCTTCTCTGCCAAACAGCCTGTCCTTGATGCCATTGATGCCATAACATACCAACAAGGTGGTACCAACACTGGTGCTGCTATCACCTACACTGTGCAAGAAATCTTCGCTTCTGCTAACGGGGCTCGAGCAAACTACCCAGATGTCCTTGTCGTTGTGACCGATGGGGAGTCATCGGATGACGTGGCCGCTCCGGCGCTGACCGCGAGAAACGCGGGCACCCTGATCTACGCGGTGGGAGTGGGGAACGGAGTGAACCAGGCAACTCTTCTGGAGATCGCAGGGGACGCCTCGCAGGTGCTGCAGGCTGCGGACTTTGCCGGTTTGACAACCGTCGTGCAAACCCTGCAGCAGAACCTTTGTGATGGTAAGAGACTCTGTCATGAAAGTTCATCTGTTCTCACCTAGAGCACTTCTCTGAACCATGAGTGGTTCTAGATGCATTTAATGATTGGCATATACAATATAATGTATTTGTCTGCAGGAATGCTTTTGTCACAAAAGGAGGAATTTGATGATAGATGATCAATGTTTATATGTTAGCTTTGTTCATTTCTTGTAAGAATCTAACACTATTTTTTATGTTTGATGTTAAACTTGAATTCAAAGCATGCAGAAGAAATGAAACGTCATCTGAAGATTTGCCTGACTCAACTATTCACATATTTTCAAATGTACAAAATTTCTTAACTTCACACAATTTTTGCTGTTGTCTTTTCCCTTGCAAGCTCCTTGTGATGGTGCTGACGGAACAAATGGTAACACTTCTAAGTAATGATTATGCACATGTTGGTGAAGTAATAAGGGGTCTTCAATGGTGAAGGAAAATAATTCTGGCCACTTAGGATATGTTTAACGTTAACTGCACTTGAGATCAGCTTCTGTAAGGAAATGTATTGTTTGTCATTGATATTAATCACAATATATAACATAAGTTTCTTAAGCTTGCATGTTCTTACATACACTATGCTATGTTTCTCAGCTGCATATTGCGGTGACCCTGGAGCACCAGTAAATGGCAACAGGGTTGGAAGCTACTTTGCGGGCAACGTGGTCACCTTTTCCTGCAATCCCGGCTTCTCTGTCCAGGGGAGTGTCACGGCCACTTGTCAGAGCAGTGGACAGTGGAGTTCAGCTGTGCCCACATGTGTTGGTGAGTCGGAACAAAACAAGACTGAGGCAAATCGTAAATAATTTCATCATGCTGGTGAATGATTGACTAGTTAATTCTTTTATTCCCAACCGTTTGTTTTACATGAGCTGATGTTTCAATGACCATCTGTCATTTTCTTCAGGGCTTTGTGACAAAAAAACTTCACTATTCATGATTGAGACATAAGTTGCCAAACGTCTCTAGAGTAACCACTCAAATAATGTGTAAATACACAGAAGAGAGGTAACCACAGTACTGTATAGACAGTCTGAGAATTCTTGCTGCTTGGGTCAATGGGGGAAAATCATCTAAGGGACTGCCAGATTGCTACACATGGAAGTACTGCACAAATGTCTGTAGATTGTTGTCATTAGCTCTTTATTGTTTTCTCCTGTTTGCCAACAGCTAACGACCCATGCCTGGCGACCCCGTGTCAGAACGGAGCGACATGCGCCCAGGTGGGCAGCACCACCCAGTACACCTGTACCTGTCCTCAGGGATACACAGGAAACAACTGTCAAGTCTGTAAGTAACAAAAAATGTTAACATTCTTATTTTTTTATTTTTTTTCGTAATTTTTACTCTTTATGTGGTTATAAACAGGCAACATTGAGTCAAAAGTTAATGACCTACATTTCTAAATTTTGTACTTACAATGTACCAGTATATGATTGTGTTACTGCTGACAATGCGGTCCCAATTGTGACACACATGCATGTAGATATATTGTTACTGTAACAATAATAGTGAGTTATGCAGTTCCAAAATGTAAAGTGTTATATACTAAGTATATATGTTGTTGGTCTGCTAGAGAGTACAGTTTGCTAGCAGACCAACTTCCCCGATGTTATCTCTCTATTTAGTCAATTTCTACTGTTTCCAGCCACTTCCTCAAGCCTCGTAGAGGCTAGAGAACATGAAGCTTTTTTGATTTTCTTCAACAGTACCAAGCTAATACGGTCCCAAGTGTAAGGTTTTTGTCTCCTTTTTCTTCCCAGTTTCAGCCTGCACTGACAGGTCCCTTGATGTTGACCTTGTTCTCCTGTTGGACGGATCTGGCAGTGTCGGTTCTGAGAACTTCAACCTCCTCAAGGCCTTCACACAGAACATCGTGGGGAACTTTGACGTAGCTGTCAACAACACAAGGGTTGGAGTGGTCCAGTACAGCGACTTTAACAAGTAGGTTGTTCTTGTATAATTATGCTAATGTGCTATATTATTCTGCATTATGCTTGTCAAAGATAGCAGAAGCTATCTATACATGTAGTTATAAGGATATAGGTTATAGAATTGCTGAGAAATTTGATAAATGAATTAAAATGTTAAGTAACATAAAAGGGCCGCCATATCGATCTTTTCTTCTTGATGGATTTGTTTTTAATGGTGAACAATGTTTGATCAAAATGTAATTAAACTCAATCAGATGATGATAGAATAATCTTAATGCTCTGTGTGAGCTATTTGGATTTCTCTGCAGTACACAGTTAGCACTAGAAGTGGGTAAAGATTGTAGTATTATAATATTATTATTGTCCTTTTCAGCATTGAATTCAACCTGAATGAGTATGCAACAGAGGCAGAAGTCCTGGCAGCCATCGGTGCCATTACGTACCAGCGCGGCGGAACCTTCACCGGAGCAGCCATCGACTTTGTCCGACAGGACGTGTTCACCACCGCCGCCGGTAACCGTGCCGACAAACCGGACGTCCTCATCGTCCTCACAGATGGAGAGTCGTCGGATTCCGTGGCAGGGCCGGCACAGAATACCCTGAATGCTGGCATTACGATCTACGCCGTTGGGATTGGTAGCGGTGTGAATGCAGACACCCTACAGGAGATCGCGGGCGACCCCGGCAGGGTGCTGCAGGCAGCCAACTTCCAGGGCCTTGCAGACGTCACCAATCAGCTGCAGGAGGCACTCTGTACAAGTGAGAAGCAGGAAACTTTGATACACATATTTACACGTGCCTGTAAAGCCTGTGTTATGCTAAAGGCAACTATACTGGCTCAGACAAAATGAACACAGAATCTACACTTAAAGGTCTTGCTCTCTTCAGGCTCAGCCATTCAAAGCACCATCACAGTGGTAGCCTAGAAGCATCTATCTTGTGGCGTAGTATTACAGATAGTATTACACAGAGGAGTCAACAAATGAATGAATGAATGGACATGGTACATGTATCTTCTTCTCAATCTTTTCTTTTTGTATATTTTTATTGAGCTCTCACTGAGCATTAGCAGCCAGACTGCCAAGACAGAACGCTGTCAGAGTTTTGTGCTGAGCAAAGAATCAACTTCTGTCTGTCTCTAATCATAACTATAGCATCTGGAAGATTGTTCCATAGTCTTCTGTATAATATCTTGTGAATGTCTATTGTCCTGTCATGTTGTCCTTATACTAGCTGCCTATTGTGGAGACCCCGGCGCACCTGTCAACGGAAACCGTGCGGGGATCTTCTTCGAGGGGGGCGTCCTGCAGTTTACGTGCGACCCTGGGTACGAGCTGGTTGGGGAGGGGTCTGCCACGTGCCAGGCTAGCGGGGAGTGGTCCAACCCTGTCCCAGCATGTACCCCCGGGGCACCCACCGTACCCACCAGTCAGGGATACCCACTTCTCGTCCTTGATACCACTGCTGACACGGTCAGTCAAGTTATGGTTTCTACCCTTTTCTTCATCATGCTATAGCCTACATAGATGTATATGACCGAGGAGTAGATACAAAAAAAGGGAGGCTCAAAATCCCTTCTAACTTAAGTATGAACAAGAATACCTTGCACAAATGGTTTGCAGTAAAAGTAGACCAGAACATTACTTCTGTATTGATTTTTACCTACACTTACAATGACAAGTACATAAATGGTATGTGTGAATGTGTTGTTCAACATTCTTAATTCAAAATTAAATCTAGCATCAATAGTGATAACAACACTTCAATTTTTATGATAGATTCCATCATTTGAATGTCATGTTTTCTGTTCTCTTTGTTAGTTTGACCAAGCTGCCTTCCGTGCTGCCATTGCTGCGTACGCCAACACTTACTGTACCACAGCCGGGAACTGTGCTGCAGGCACGGGCCTGGACTTTACGTGAGTTTTACATTCTCAACAAATTGTGTTTTCCTCCTTTTTTTATTATAATGAACTCTGACATGGTGGTAACTTACTGGTAAGTGGTACATGTGTATATAGTGCTGCATACCGGTTCACTGGACTTGGATCCAGACTTGTAAGAATGTTTAGGTTCAAGTCAAAAAACCTAAAACTCAAGAACCGAGTCCAGACTTATTACCATAAAAGATCATTTCACATACCCCTTTTCTTTCCAAACCACCTGAAACCTTCCGTAGAGTGCAAAATCTTTGCTGCAAAATGAAGAAAACATTGCCATTGGGCATCGTCAAGTACCGGCCTCCATGTTATGTGGCCAAAGTTTCACCCAGACAACATTACAAGGCTGCCAACATGCAATTTTGTATATGCCATGGGTTTAGGTCCGGACTTGTAAGTCCGGAACTGAACCTAAACCTCTGGACTTGAATCCGGACCTGAACCTAAAATTGGGTTTAGGTATGCATCACTATGTGTATACAGTCAAACCTGCCCAAGTCATCACCAGGCCAAAAGACTCTTTTCCTCCATCCACTTGGATTGTTGGACAAGTTTGACTGTACAATGTATTTGAAATGTTATGCCTTATATAACCAAGTTTATTTATCTTCCCAGGGCTGATGATGTTGCAGTCCTCTCAGCAGAACCTGCCGTTGATGGTGGCTTGACTGTGACATTTGTGGTTCAGAATGCCAACGGTGCCTCCATGTTAACAGACGATGAGCTGAGTGCCATGCTCACACAGTATGAAGCTGCGATCGAGGCACAAGGGAGCTTCCAATACTCCATGGGTGATCAGGCAACCACTATCACACCCACTGTCATAGCTGAGGGCAGGAGTGCAGGACTGGATCAGGTGGGTACAGAAAAATGGAGGCTTTTAGATGATAATAGAAGAAGAACTTTTAGGAAGTTAAGTGCAAGACAATTGTAACAGATGTAATGTATGGCAACTTGTATAGAGGTTGAGCTATTGTTATTTTCTAACCATTCTGAGAGACTAATCTACTTTAAATTTAATGATTAACAGTGATGAACGCTCATAGAGAGAATGGAGTAGATTAAACAAGTAAAGTTTCACAATTTACTGTATTTTACCTTGTAACGTGAAATACTCAATGTTTGAACAACAATTCAAAACACTTGAATCAAAGATGTAGCTCACTATAACTGGGATGAGAACATTTTTGACACTTTTGTATCTTTGTTTACCCTCAGACGGAGTTGGTCATCATCATCGTGGCTTCTGTGTTTGCCTTTGTCTGTATTGTCATTTCAGCCTACGCCATATTCAGGTCTTTTGGCCAACAGTAAGTATACTGAGTACTAAGCTTACAGGTTGATTGCTAAATGTATTTCATGTAATGATAGTCTTTGCAACTTCTTTTGATTTGTGTTCTTAGTTCTTTTGATTGTCACTACATGTAAATATAATACACTTAATACAGGAAAAGAATTTGTTAAACTTTACAGATTACAATTTTTTGTTTTGATTTTTTTTACAAGAAAATGCAAAACAAAAGAATCACTTTTATTGTTAAACTCTGAAAATTTACAACTTTGGTTTCATCCCTCATTTAATTTTGTCACCACTTCTCTTTATATATTGTGACGTATTCAATGTTACATACTAGAAGATGTTGTCTAAAAATTTCTTCTCTTTTAACCATATAGGAAGGGCAAGGTTAAGCTAAACGAGCCTGCGAAAGAGGACGTGTACAGCAGTGTGATAAAGAACCGAGCTAGCTCAGCATATGACTCAGAGAACGGCCACGAGAACACGGCATTCATGGAGATGAACGGTGATGGTGCGGATGCAAGGCCTCCGAAAGACTCCGTAACGCAGTTATAGGGTTCACTAACTTGATTTATTGTACACCTTAAAGGCACCCAAAGAATTTTTAGGGCAATAAAACTGTTATCTGTGATGCAGAAATGTGATGTCATTGACAAAAATGTCTGCTTGTTTTGTATCATAAGCTGGTTCTAGCTATTTATTGGTGGTATCAAAATGTAAAGCATGTGTTGGGGCTATTTCAAATTCTTCAGGAATGAAATGATGACAAAATTGTGCTAATGAAATAGCAGGTAATGTCAATATCAGACAGATTTCTTCATCCATAGTATTTTTTGTCATGTTGCCCTGAATTTGTATTGGATGCCTTTAAGTATTATTGTTTCAGATGTGTCTTAGGAATTTGGTAGACTTTGGAAGAAGCCAGTGTTATAGGTAAGGAGACTAAACGAAAGTCTAGTACATACTGCTTCTATTTATTCCTAAACAAGTCAGCTAGATGTGGTTCTGTAGTGTGTGTGGATGAGTAATCAAGAATATATTACAATGATTGATATATTATGACATTTTTTGTCATGACCATATTTTATACAAGTTCAATGTTGTAAAAAAGAAATACCTCACTTAACTCATGCACATGTTGCACCTATGCTTGTGATAGTTGATATCAGCATTTATATTTACTATATGATAGGTACATATTGATAAAGGTCATGGAAGTTAAAGATAAAAAGATAAAAAAAAAGGGATGTTACTTATATTATACAGAGATGCTTCAATATTATTAAATGTAAAAATCATGAAGTACTAATCAGAGAAAACGATACTTGTTTGATATTTTCATTCAATAGCAAATTTTCTATGTCAGACTTGGCAGCTTTCATAAAACATTTGAATCTCATTACTCATGCTATTATTATAAACTGGCTCTGCACACGTTTATTATGTCACAAAATGTGCACACAATAAGATTCAGTGTTCTGTATCTGTATAGCCGGTATAGCGATAAGCCGCCCTTTGTCGTTACACACCAGCTTTGCAGGCACGAGGCGCGGCGGCAGCTGGCTACATTACACCAAACAAATTGTTACACCTAAGAGGGCCTGCAAGCCTTTCGTAAGGCGTAATCAGGCCGTTTTAAACTTCGTAATTTGTAGGCAGCCTCCGCAAAAATCAACATAATTCGTAATTGGACATTAGCCGCAAATCGTAAAGTCGTAATCAGCTCTGAGACTTAAACGTAATTCGTAATAGGCTGCAAAAATTTTGCGTAATTCGTAATCACTACCCCCCCTTGCAGGCCCTCACCTAACCCTTGAACATCTAACTCTAAACATTGTTTAAAGCTATCTAATGATAGCTATCTAATGTGTTGTAGTGATGAATGCTTTCTATATTTATATGTAATGTGACTCTTTTGAGATAAGATCAGTAAAAGTAGTCTTATTCTTTACATTCTCTGGTCTGTTGAGACATTCAATGTGTCAAAACATTGATTTGCAAAGTCATAAAGTCTGATAACCACTGATAGAATTAAATAATGTAATAATTTGCTGCTGAAGACTTGGGGTAAATACAGTTTCTGTAGTAATTATTATGTTAGTCTGTACTTAAGATATAGCATGATTATGAACACTGTAAGAACGTAGATTCTAGTACACTTTCTGGTGATAAGAAAGTCAGAACTAGTATGTAATCATCGAATCTAGATTTTGAAGCATAGAAGTATCTTCTCCATAATGTGTCTTAAGGGGATTTTGCCTTTTTGCAATCCTGCAAATATTTGTAGATGTTGACTCTTCATTGTTCAAGGGCCAATGTTGTTCTGAAGCTGTATTTATTTTAGCATTTATATTATCACTTTGGTTGGAAACACTTGAAGACAAAATAAAATAAAGGGCACGTTTGAACCATAACCCGAACTGTAATCTGTAATTGTTTGAATCAGTTTTGCTACCCTAAACACTGCAAATTGGTTTTCTTGTGTATGGTAGGTGTTCAGCACCAAGGACAGGTTTGTTTGTGTGCGGAAGGTCTTCATTCTACCACGGAATGAAATAAATGAATTTTCCAGGGGTCCCAGAAACTTTTTCAGATTTTTACGGAATTCATACGATCCTTACTAGGAAACATACGAAGTTAACGGAATACACAAGATCCTTACTAGAAACATACGAATTTTACGGAATACATACGATCCATTACGCGGGATACATACGATCCTTACTTGTTGACTTGGGACATCGGCAGCAAATTCAAGATGGCGGGCTATTATAGCGATGTTCTCCTTAAAATATCTTGGTTTCGAAGACTTTTAAGGGCTTGTCCTGCCCTGCTGAATCCCAAACAGCACTTATGCGGACTTCTTTCACGACATAGTAGCCTGTATTTTAGACCAAATATGTAGCAGGGCGAGGCTGGGAAACGGTGGAACCGGTGATCGCTGCGGTATGTCACCAAATGACCACCAAGTCACTGCATTTACATCATTTTTTTAAAAATCTGAGCTCGAGATTGACATTTTTAGTCTTCGTAATTAGATATCTAACCCTGCTTCCTCGCCACATATAAGTGCCTAGGACCGAGACGGGCCGTCATTGGTCGTCATAATTATTAGATTACCAGCTTCACATTGATTAGACGGCTGTTTCGCACACCTGTGTAAAAATGAGAGTGGCGTGGTCCTTACAAAATGGCGGTTTCGTATGACAGGGATACTCTGGGCTGATATTTTTTTTACAATTCTTTTGTACTTCTTAGAGTTTTCTTCGGTAGAATGTTTACACTAAGTGTGCAGCCGAATCACTGGGAGTTGTCGCTGTGGATTTGTGCCGTTCTGGTGATGTTCTGAAGAGAAAATGCGGATTTTCTGACCTGGCGAATTTGGGAGAAGACACGTTACAAAATGGCGAAGCACTTGGGAAGAGCAGCGTCAGGCTCGTAGCGTGGTATGGAGACGACTTTAATAGCTCATTGTTGCAGGTAAACCAACAAATTGTTTGGCTAACATTCTTCCCTAGTAACTTAATACGAACATGTCAAGTTACATTGTATATTCCGTAAGAAATTACGTAGTTCTGTATTAGAGAGTGACTAATTTTAGACATGCTTTGAAATTACGCCTATCAATTTGCCGCGCTTTCAACCACATTTTCAAAGTGCGGTGCGCTCGTAGAGTTACTGTTACAGTAGTAAATGTGTATGCATGTCTTTTTTGTCAATTGTCCCGCGTTTAGATGTTATATTAGAAAGAAATTATGCATTGACCAAACTTTTTTCTTATCTCCACGTGGTTCAAAACACCTGTTGGAATGTGCCCGTGTACATAATTAAAACGAGTAGATGTAGCATTATATTGTCTGTCAAGCACATGCTTGTAATTTAGTTATGGTATTTGTTTCCTTGCTGTGCTACTTACATTTGTACATGTACCTCTGAAAGTACCCGCCATAATGTAGTTTTAGATTTCGTCAATTCACAGCCACAACATAAGAACATTTTTTTTAACCTCAAAATGCATCTTGTATCAGGCCTCAAAATTAACTTTTCTTCCTATTGTCCCAGCACTGTCCCAAAAATAAATTTCAATTGTCCTGAAGTGAGGATGAACTGTCCTTGCTCATGCACTTAGCTCCACATGCCCCTCAGACTGTGGCGCGTAGCGCCTCTGCATAGGGCTCTCCAGGACTGCCTGTACCAACCTGTTTTTTGGGGGAAGTATTGTATGACTTCAACTTGAAGTCAACTATAGTTGCAGAGTAGACAGGAAATTTGGGGGACTATCCCGGATCCAAAAGCCAACTGAGGACGTGTGCCTGATAAACAAAAGAAGGGCTGAAATTCTGATGTTGATTATTTTTCTCTTGTCCCAAAACTGTCTCAAAGTGTCTTTTTAGTTGTCCCAGCCTAAATTTTAGTGGTCAGTGGCCATTGTACCACCTTTAATTTCGAGCCCTGTTGTAGTAGAAGATAACGTTAATTCAACGAGGTCTATATCTCTAGTTGGTAAGATTTGTTCAGTGTCATTTTGCAACTTTCTGTAATGTATGACAAGCTGATAACATTAGCTATTTCTTCTTTTAATCATCTGTAGTGAGCTGTGCTCTGAGGGTCAGCACCCTGTGCAGGTGTTTAGTACTGATGGGATGAGACTTGTGATGACAGGCTCCAGGTGATCAGAGACATGTAGGAGTGTTGGGCAAGGTGAGAAAAATCTGAATTCTGCATTTTACCTACAACTATTTGGTGTTATTTGAGACAAGTGTGTAACTTCTACTGTCCGTATAGTTAGGTGGCTGCTGACTGATGTAGTTGTGCATGAGGGCTCCTGTCTAAAACTGACAACACTGGATTGGACCAGACCAGATGATTTCAAGACCCAAGACGAATATCAGGTGAGAAAAATCTGAATTCTACACTCAACCTTCTTTTTATTTTATATTACGTGAGAAAAGTGTGTAACTTCTAATGTTTGTATACTATTAGGTGGCTGCTGACTGATGCAGTAGTAGGGACTCCT